ACTGAGTGCTCTTGCAGAAGACGTAGGTTCAAATCCCAGCACCCACATGGCAGCTAACAACCATCCATAACTCCAGTTCCAGGGGACCCAATGCCTTCTTCTGACCTCCTCTGACATTACATGACATGGGTGCACTTACATACATGTAGGCAATACACTCATGCACATAAAACAAAAATAATAAAATATTTAGGCCTGGCATGGTGGCGCACATCTTTAATCTCAGCACTCAGGAGGCAGAGGCAGGCGGATCTCTGTGAGTTCAAGGCCAGCCTGGTCTACATTGTGAGTTCCAGGACAGCTGGGACTGCAGAAAGACCCTATCTCAAAAAGATGAAAATAAATAAATAGTTAAAAAATAAAACTATTGTGAGGGGGCCAAAAAGACAGTTCAGTGGATAAAAACATTTGCCTTGAAAGTTTGATGACCTGAGTTCAATCCTGGGGGGCCACATAGTGGAAGGAGAGAACTTACTCTTCAGTTGTCTTCTGACCATCACATGTATGCCATGGCACATGTATGCACACATACACACAAAGACAAATAAATAGATGCAAAAATAAGAAAACTATTGTGAGGGATGGCTAGATGGCTCAGTTGGTAAAGGTGTTTACTGCAAACAAGGCTGACAACCTGAGTGCCACCCCTGGGACCCATGGTGGAAGGCGAGAACCTACTCCCAAAAGTCATCCTCTGACCAACCACACACACACTGTGATATACATGTGCCTGCACTCACACATACACATCATACACAAACACAATAATAATTTTTTGAAATTCGTTTTTATTTATGTGGATGTGTCTATGCCACATATGTGCAGGTGCCCACAGAAGCCAGAAGAGAGTGCCGGATCTCCTGGAACTGGAGTTACAGATGGTTTTGAGCTGCCCAATGTAGGTGCTAGTAACTGAACTCAAGTCCTCTGGAAGAGCAGGAAGCATCTTAACCTTTGAGCCGCCTCTGCAGCACCAACAAATAAAATTTTAAAATGATATCATTTGTCACCTACCAGGTCGGCAAAGACTTCAAAAGCCTATTCTGTTGGGCAGGTGGTGGAGAAATATGTCACTGTGCGTTGCTGGAAGGAGTGTCAAATCTTATAACCTTTGTGAGGAAATGGCCAATGAAGCAGTACCTGAACTTTATTGTACATATGTCTCTAACCAGATGAAAATATGTAAGCACAGGGTATTCATTATAGTATGTTGCCTGTAATGTTTACAGCCTAGATGTCCACATGAACAACCGTGCTTGAATCACCTATGATACACCTATATAGTGGGGTACCACACAGCTGAAAACAGATGTTGGTCACATCTCAGGAAGAAGACCTCTAAGAAGTGATTTCCAGGATATGTTAAGAGTCAGGCGTGGTGGTGCACACCTTTAATCCCAGCACTTGGAAGAGAGAGGCAGGTGGATCTCTGTAAGTTCGAGGCCAGCCTGTTCTACATAGTGAGTTCTGGATGAGGATACAGGAAGACCCTGTCTCAAGGACAAAAAAAAAAAAAAAAAAAAAAAAAAAAAAAAAAAAAAAAGGCAACTATGCTAGTTAAAAAAAAATGTATAAAATATATGTGAGAGATCTTCTCCATAAAAAAGGACAGTCAATAAGAACACATATGTGTGAAGACTAGGCCAGAAATTTGTGAGGTTTGTGTATCTCTAGTGAGGCTAGGGGAAAAACAGCAGATCAATGGACAGAATGGTGTTTTTGTTGTTTTGTTGAACTTGGGATTGATTCCAGGGTCTTGCTCATGTTAGGCAGTCACACTACCACTGAGTTACCCTAGGTTACCAATCTGGCCTTGAACTCACTGTGTAACCCTGGCAGGACTTGAACTTGCAATCCTACTGCCCCAGACTCCTGAGTATCTGGGATTATAGGCATTTGCCATCATATTCAGCTCCCAAGTGACCTTTTAAAAATAATAATTTGGGCTGAAAAGAAGGTTTAGCGGTTAAGAACACTGGTTGTTCTTGCAGAAGACCCGGGTTCGAATCCCAGGACCCACATGGCAGCTAACAATTGTCTGAAACTCCAGTTCCAGGGGATCCAATGGCCTCTTCTGACCTCCGCAGGCATTGCAGGACATGGGTGCACTTACCTACATGCAGGCGATACATGCACGCACATAAAATAAAACTAATAAAATATTTTTTAAAAAAATAATTTGAGGTCTAGAAAGATAGCTCAGCAGTTAAGAGCACTTACTACTCAGTTATGAGGACCAGAGTTCAGATCCCAGCACCCTTGTAAGAAGCTGGACATCTGCTGCATACCTGTAACCCCAGATCGGAGTGAGATGAAGACAGGAGGATCACTTGGGCTCGCTGGCTTCCAGCCTAGCCAAGAAAGTGTAAGTCCCAGGTTCAAGGAGAGACCCTGCCTCAAAAACTAGGTAGAAAGTGACAGAGAACACTCAATTCCCTTTACTGGTATGAACACACACACTCAAATCTTTAAAAAATAATAATAATGTTTAAGTTGGGCATGGTAGTGCACACCTTTTATTCTAGCACTGGGGAGGCAGAGGCAGGCAGATCTTTGTGAGATCCAGGACAGCCTGGTCTACATAGCAAGTTCCAAAGCAGCTGGGGCTACAGGGAGACCCTGTCCCAAACAAACAAACAACCCCCCAAAACAAATAAATTTTAAAAAATAGTTTCAAAAATACTTCAAAAAAATAATAATACCATAGAATTTATCTAAAGTACACAATTCATTTTAGGATGTTCACAACCATCAACACATCAATCTATTTTAAACTATTTTTCATCAACTCCTGAAAACCCTCCACTAGCCATTTTCTATTTCTCTACCACTGTTTCCTACTCCTCAGCCACTGTTGGACTACTCTTTAGCCCTACAGAATTCCTGTTCAAGACATTTCAAATAGGTGCTGGAGGATGGCTCACTGGTTAAGAGCTCTTCCAGAGAACCTGAGTTCAATTCCCAGCAACCACTTTGGGTGGCTCACAGCTAGCTGTAACTCCAGCTCTTGAGGAATCCAATGACTCTGGCTTCCAAGGGCACCTGCATTCAACATGCTCATACCCACACACAGATACACACATATACACATAATCTAAAAGAAAAATAAATCTTTAAAAGACAAGTACACAGTTTCATATAATATTTTTGTGACAGACTTCTTAGTGTTTTCAAGGTTCACCCATGGTATGGTATGTAGTGGTACTGTATTCCTTTGTATAACCAAATAAAACACATTCTAGGGCCAGTAAGATGGCTTAAAGGGTAAAAGCACTTGCTATGCAAGTCTGACCACCTGGATTTCAATCCCTAGAACCAATGGTGGAAGCAGAGAACCACTCCCAAAAGTTGTGATCTGATTTCTATATGCACATGATGGTATGTGCACAATTCACACACACTAAAATGCCATTGTATGTGTATACCACATTTTAGTATTCTTTCATCAATGGACATGCTTGGGTTTCTATTTGGGGACTATTTGAATACTACTACTAAACCTTTATGTACAAGTTTTTGTCTAGACATATGTTTTTATTTTAAGTAATGCTTGAACTTTTTTTTTTCAGTGCTGGGAACTGAACCTATGCTATCTATACTCAGCTATGCCCTGTGCCTTTGATTCTTTTTTAAAAAATATTTTATTTATTATTTTTATTTTTAATGTGAATGAGTGTATTGTCCGCATGTATGTAAGTACACCCATGTCATGCAATGCCCATGGAGGTCAAAAGAGTGTGTTGAATTCTCCTGGAACTGGAGTTAAGGACGGTTGTTAGCTGCCACGTGGGTGCTGGGAATCTAGCCCAGGTCCTCTGTAAGAACATTCTTAACTGCTCAGCCATCTCTCCAGCCCCCTTGATTCTTTTTAATAGAATTGTTTTAGCTGGAGATAGCATTCAGAGGTAGAGTGCTTGCTTAGCATGTTTGAGGGCCTGGGTTCAATCCCCAGCACCAGAATGAAAAACAGAATACTTTTTCACAGAGATTTGGGTCATAGTCACAGGGAAATTGGGAATTCCCCTGTGCACTGAGACTTACATAGTTGCATTCTTTTCCCAGGTCTTTTAAAAATGTTAATATTATCTTCCAAAGCCTAAAAATGTGTGGTAAGGCTCTACTTTCTGCAAGTCTCAAGCAGGAGCAGGAGATCCCTGGCCAGGACTAGCTGGCCACTGCCTTGGGGTTGTCTGACTGTCCTATTATCAATTAGTTGGAACTGCAGGAAAACCCGCCCCAGCCTTGCGCCCGTTCTGATCCACAGCCTCTGCACAAAGAATAGCAGGAGACACAGCAGGCTGTGGTAACGGTGCTTCGAGCTGGGGTAAGGTAAGGTGCTTCCATTATTTACTGGGCTTCCTGTAGAAGTCTCATTCATAAAATGAAGCTACTATGTGTGGTAGAGAGCATTGCATGCTCACATAGAAATGAGCAGTGTGCAGACCACAAGCTGAGATGCCACAGAGCTCTGCTGACTCAGCCGCTCATTAAACCTGTGGAGGCAGGAAGATGCTCTCTTACTCTCTGGCTTGCTGCCTGGTACACTGGAAGTGCTCGGTAAATCTCCACACAACTTTCTGAAGCGCTACACATTCTGCAGAGTGACAGCCCCCATCACCTATAAATCAAAAGGTTACTTTTGCCAATGTTGGCACTGCCATCGTAGGAGAGAAACTCTGCATTCTTACTGTTTGGGGAAAAGTCCTGAGGGTCCAGTGATTTCAAATGTCGCACCAGGAAAGGAGACAAGGAGACTGAGTGATGGGATTATGATCTGTATTTATTTGCCCTCTGTATTCATGGAATCTGGTTACCAGTTTCTCTCTCCACATAAGTTTTAGTGCTCTTTTCCCACAAAATGTGGGATTCTGTAGTGAAATGTAAAGGAAGGACAACTGCCCATTGTGGTGGTGCAAGCCTTTAATCTGAGCACTCAGGAGGCAAAGGCAGGAGGGTCTCTGAGTTCGAAGTCAGCCTGGTCTACCTAACAAGTTCCAGGTCAGTGATGGCTACACAGTGACACCATCTCAAAAAAAGAAAACTAAAAAAGCTAACAGACAGGAAGGCAGGAAATGAAGGCTGGGGAGCTCATCACAGCATATCGAGGAGCAACGGGGAAAGAATTCTTTGAATGATGTGCAGAAACCACATAGATCTCCTTGTGCCCCTAGAGAGAAGCATGTCCTCAGACAACCAGTGGTCAGCAGACAAGGATGAAGGCCAGTTAGCCCGACTGATGAGGAAATCTAGAGACTCCCCCTTTGTCCCTACAGGTAAGTATACCCCTTGACTGGATGCTGGAAAACTGTGCCTTACTCAGCAGCTCTGGAGGTTGACATGGTTCATGTAAGTGAATTTGCTCAGATTCTCAGAAGCTCGTCTCTCTAAACAGAAATGAGAATTGAGCAGTCGGGGTACTTTCCAGTCCAGAATCCAGAAAATTTAGCCATCATTTTATTCAATTTTACACATTTCATTAGAGGCCTATCTAATTTTAATTACATGTATGTATGTATGTATGTATGTATACACATGTCATCGCATGCGTGTAGAAATCAGAGAATAACTTTTGGGAATCATTTTCGAATTCAGGGTGTTTGGCTTAGCAGCAAGCGCCTTTACCTGCTGAGTCATCTCTCTAGTCCTTAGAGGTCTATCTAAAATTATTAGTTAAGAGTCAATTAAATGGAATTAACTGAATGGACTTAAACCTTTTCATTATGACTCAGAATTAGCAGCATTAGTTTAATACACAGAAAGTCTGTTAAAAACTATTTGTTTGGCCAGGCATGGTGGAATATGCCTTTAATCCCAGCACTCAGGAGGCAGAAGCAGAGGCAGGTGGATTTCTGTGAGTTTGAGGTACACATTGTCTACACAGTGAGTTCCAGGCCAACTCAGGCTACATAGTAAGACCCTATCTAAAGAAAAACAAACAAACCCACTATTCATTCATCTCTTTGTTCTGTAGCTCACCCCAGCCTTTAAGCTCTCCTGTCTGTTGTTTATAGATTTTTGCTCTTTTCATTACTACCAGGTATGATTAAAAACTACTTTGGGGGACTGGCAGTTGTGGCTCAGTTGGTATAGTGTGTGCCTAGCATGGACAAAGCCCCATATTCAATTCCCAGCACTTCACAGACCAGGTATGGTGGTACATGCCTGTGATTCCAGCTCTCAGCACAGGGCAGGTGAAGGTAAGAGGATCCAAAGTTTAAGTTCAAGGCCAGCCTGAGCCACATATGACCCTTGTCTCAAATAGAAAAAAAAAAAAAATGGAAAGAGACAAGAGACAGAGAGAGACAGAGAGAGAGAAAAGGAAAAATGAGAGGAGGGGCGGGGGGAGGAAAACAAACCCTTCCAGTTTTAGCTGGCATGATGGCATTTTCTTGGGAGGCAGAGAAGGATTACTGTAAATCTGAGATCTACACAGCAACTGCCTGGCTAGCCAGCTGCATAATGAGACCTGGTCTCAAAGATACTAAAAACCAAACAAAGAAACCTCCTTCTTTTGCTCTGCAGAACTAGAAGCTAGATCCCCCCCCCCCCCCCAGCTTGAAACCTCTGTGGGTCAATCAGAATATGGTTCAGAGGGGAAGCCTGGCCTGTTGGCAAGCTTGGAGCATGGATTTTGTGGGGCTCATTTGGCTACTCGGTGGGGTATGACTGTGTTTTCCAGGCTTCCTGGCATGTTCCACATGTTGAGGTTGATGGTTAAGTAAAAGCTGAATTTTAAAAGTCTCATTCTGAGCCTGGCATGTTGAGCACGCCTTTAATTCCAGCACTCAGGACACAGAGGCATGCAGATCTCTGTGAGTTCCAGGCCAGCTGGGGCTCTCAAAAAGAAAAAAGAAGTCACATTCTAATTAAACCTGGAGTATTAGCCTCTTTCTTACCCCTCTTATTTAGTATGTTAGACACACACACACACACACACACACACACACACACACTCTCACTCATTCATTCACCTACTTGAATTAGGGATGTAGCTCAGTGATAAAAAACTTTCCAAACAATCCTCAGCTCTGGAAAAAAAGAAAAGGAGGGAGGAATGAAGGAAGGGATGGAACCCAACAAAATAAAACCAACTCCTAGACTCTCCCCCATGACTGTGTTTTAGGCTGTGAGCGTTCTCTTTCTCTGGATGCTGATGCTGCCCTCAGCACTAATCAGACACTGCAGTGATGTCTCATGTCCACTTCATCTAGAAACTACTGAAATGTTCTCTTAGCTCTGACTTATATGTCATAAATTTTTTACAGAGTTTTGTCACATAGTTCCATTAAGGGTCATTCACCTATCAAAAGCAGCAATTTCTAGCTTATACACTATTGTGGAACACCGTCCTCTGAGCATAGCAGCCATTACCATCTTCATCAGAGAAGCTAAGACTATTCAAAAGAGATACTCAGGATCAGACCTGTTGGCATTCCCTCATATAAGCGGGCGGGGAGGGCCATTAGATCCTCAACTGAGAGCTCAGTCACTCTTTCCCCACCGTATGGAATTCTGCTCAAGCTGTACATGGTCTTGTGGTCTGAGGAGGTGACAGTATACAGAATGGAAGTTTAACTGAAGAGGGGACTCCATCTATGCAGCTATGGGGAGGCTGTCACCCACGCTGCAGTGAGACTTTCCAGATTCCAGAGTGCCTTGGAGTCCCTGACATTCCTAAAAGTAACTTCACCCATGCTCACCCTTGTTTGTAAGTAGGCCCCATGGGCTGGGTGTGGTGGTATACACCTTTAATTCCAGTACTTGGGAGACACACGCAGGTTGTTCTCCACGATCTCAAGGCCAGCCCGGTCTACACTATGAGTTTCAGGCTAACCAGGGCTACATGGTGAGACCCTGTCTCAAGTAAAAAAAAAGTAATCCAAATGAACTCATTGGTTCCCGAAGTTGGACTTTGGTGGAATTGTACTTTGGTCTGTCATTGATACCCTGTCTGGGTCAACAGATGTTTCTTCATGTCTCCCTGGAAAAATTCATGTGACAAGTATTGTTTAAAAGTTTTACTTAGTTTGATTATGACTTGTAAGAGCACACATAAGGGCAGAGCATGGTGGCGCACACCTTTAGTCCAGTACTTGCTGTGAGCTCGAGGCCAGCCTGGTATACACAGTGAGTTTCAGGCCAGCTGGGGCTACAGGGAAATCCTGTCTCAAAAAGACCAAAAAAAAAAAAAAAAAAAAAAAAAGAAGAGCACATATAAGACCCACATATGGCTAACAACCATCCGTAACTCCAGTTCCAGGGGTTCTAATACTTTCTGGCCTCTGAGGACACGGCATCCTTGTGATACCCTCATATACATGTAGGCAAAACACATAAAATAAAAATGAAAAAAAAAAGAAATGGAAGCAAAGCATTGTATAAGAAGTTAGAAGCAAATGATTTACTAGTAATGTATCTTCCTTCGGGTTTGTCACTAGAAAAACAATTCAAGATCCAAGAAGTTGCATGTGGTGTTGCACACATGTAATCCTAGCAGTCAGGTGGCATAGGCAGGAGGATGGCAGGTTTGGGGCCAGCATGGGCTATATTTAGACCCTGTCTCAAAAAAAAGGGAAGCAACAAAAAGACAAAACAAAACCGGGTGTGGTGGTCCACACCTTTAATCCTAGCACTCGGGGCGGAGGTAGGTGGATCTCTGAATTCCAAGGCCAGTTTGGTTTACTTAGAGAGACGCTGTCTCAAAATCAACAAAAAACAAAAACGAAAAAGAGGAAAAACAAGCCCCTCAATTCATACAGATCCTAAAACAGATTAATCGTGTCTGTTACACATTAAATTAATTTTTCCGGAGACAATTAGTATGATTAAAGTAGAAAGATGAAAGTGTTTTTAGCTAAATTAAATTATCTGTAAACCAGAAAAGGTACTGTCTTTAATCTCTGACAGGAACAAAACCGGTTTAAGTAAGCACAGAATCTTGGATTTGATCAAGAGGAGATAACCAATATTTTGATAGAAAAATGACATATTTTGTGTGTATCATCGAACAGTTTTCTCTAGTTTTTGTTATTTAAGCAATACTTGATTGTTGGATATCTTGCTATAGGATGGACTGTCTTTCACAGATAATTTACAGAATTTTTTTTTGATTATCTGAAACCACTTCCATCATTATAAATATGATTTCCTGAGATGGGGGTTCAACCTTTGCTTTTTTTCTGGCTTTTTGAGACAGGGTTTCCCTGAAGCCCCAGCTGACCTGGAACTCATTATGTAGACCAGGTTGGCCTTGAACTCACAGAGATCTACCTGCCTCCCAAGTGCTGGGACTAAAAGCATGCGCCACCACGCCCAGCTGCTTTGTTTTTTTAAGATGACTGGGAGGGAAGGACCCTGCCTGGTAGAAGGCTTGCTTATACAGCTACAGTAATCAAGATGCTGGGGTTGCTGGTAGAGAGACACATAGATCAATGATCTATATCAATAACCCAGAGAACCCCAAAAGAGGACCCACACTTTTACCTTGTAAATGTTTCCTTTGTTCCTATGTCAACATACAGCATTTCATCCTTGTCAGTCCCCACTGCCTGCTTGATCTCATAGAGGTTATATACTATGGTATTCTGGTTTTTTGGCTATTGCTATTGTTTTGTTTCTTGTTTAGCTGTTACTCATCTGAAACTTTTTGCAAGGTCCAGTGTGACATATAAACTCAAGGTAGTTTTTCTCCATACCCATAAATTGTACTGATGACATTAAATTCATTTATTTGTTATCTGGATACGTTTGGTTTGTTGTAGATTAAATTCTCCTGCTGTTTTAAATCTCTTCCTGAAGTCTTTCCCATTTAGTTGATGAGTTGTTTTAAAGCCAATTACACAGGGCTGTCATGCAGCATAGTTGCCCTTTGATACCTATAGAAAATACAGAAGCTATTTGTATGGTCTTCTTAACTTTTCTAGAAATCCTCCTAGAGCCATGTATTTCTTGTTCATGTATTCAGACATTTCCAATTCGTATTAAAATTTATTGTGTTACTTTATTATATTTTGAGACAGGGTCTTATCATGTAGCCCTGGATGGCCTGGAACTTTCAGCTATCTCCCTGCTTCTGCCTCCTAAATGCTGGAATAACAGGCCTGCACCACGACACCCTTCTTTGTGTTATTTTCTACAAGAAGAACAAGGTCTTTATCTTTTTACTAGATGACTCTTATTTGATGCCAAGAGAGAAGTGTGTGCCACCACGCCCGGCTCTTTTTATTTTATTGATTTAATAATTTTATACAATATATTTTGATCATATTCAGACCCTCCTCACCCATCTCCACCCTCACCTTACCACCATCCCCTACTACTTTATTAGCAATCGAAAACCTCATCCATCTTACAAAACACATGTAAACTGGGTGGCAGAGAGATCACATCTCACTAGAATGTCAGGGACCTATAATTCTTACACATGTATCCATTTTATTTGTTTAGTTTAGGTTTTTGAAACTGGGTATCATGTTCAAGGCCTAAACTGGCCTTGAACTCCTGATCTGCTTGTCCATCTCCCATGCTGGGACTACAGGTGTGGGCCTCCACACCTGGTTTAAGGACCCATGTTAAAATCTGCCTCTTCTGGGCCAGGAAGATGGCTCAGCAAGTAAAAGAACTTGCAGCACAAGCCTGACATCCTGAGTTTAATCCCCAGAACCTATATTTTAAAGAAAAAAGCCACCTTTGTCAGCTAGCCTCAGAATGCAGCACAGCAGCAGAAATATGAGAAACCTTGCCTTAACACAATGAAAAGTGAGAATAGATTCCTGAGAGCTGTCCTCCGCCCTGTACACACAGGAATTCGCCTGCATTCGAACACACCAAAATAAATACAATCTGCTACATCAAATCTTCAAATCAAGGATTTGGGGATCTTTTGGTTATTTAGTTGTTTTTTGAGACAGGGTCTCATGTATCCCAGGCTGGCCTTGAACTACCTATGTAGCCAAAGACGGTCTTGAACTTCTGAACCTCCTGCTTCTTCTTTTCAGAGTTGCCCGTACAGGTGTGCACCATCATGTCCACATTATGCAGTGCTAGAGACAAACCCAGGGCTTCGTGTATGCTAGGCAAGCACTCTACCAACTAAGCTATATCTCCAGCCCCTCCAGTATAGTTCTTTTTAAGGTATCCTTTGGTATGGGCTGACTATCTGAAAACCACACTTCTAATATACTCCAAAATCTGAAACTTTCTGAGTCAACATGATGCCAAAAGTGGAAAATCCCACGCCTGCTCTCATGTGACAAGCCCTAGTCACAACACGGGTGAGAGACAGCTCAGAGGTTAAGGGAGTGTACTGCTCCTGCAGAGGACCCGAACTTGGTTCCCAGCACCTATGTCCAGTAACTCACAGCCACCAGTAATGCCAGCTCCAGAGCATCTAACACTCTTCTAGCCTCCAAGGGCACCTACCATGTACATGCACAGAAACACATACACAGAAACAATTTTCAAAAATCTTTTCAAAGCCAGGCATAGTAATGCACACCTTTGATCCCAGTGCTTGGGAGGCAGAGGCAGAGGCTGGTGGATCTCTGTAAGATGAAGACCAGCCTGGTCTATATAGTGAGCCAGCTGAGACTACAGGGAGACCCTGTCTCAAAAAGTGACAAAATCAAACCAAACAAAAAAATCTTAGAAAAAATAAATTTTCTAAAACTTTGTATCATGTGAATGAGGCAAATGTGAAACACGCACAGGCCTAGTATTTAGACCTGGGTCCTGTCCAAGATATCTCATGGTCTGAAACCTGAAAACCCCAGAAGTCCACATTTCTGATCCCAAGCATGTCAGACAAGGGACACTCACCCTTGCATCTTGTCAGCTTGTCTTTCAGGTACTCTCCCTTTAGACATCCTCTCTAATGAGAATTCTTGCCTGATGTTTATCTAACTTATGTTTTAAATCCACAGGTGTGGCTGGATTTGTGGCTGTGCTGTCCTTTGGTCTTTATAAGTTAAAGTACAGAAAAGATCAGAAAATATCGCTTCATCTTATCCACATGCGCATTGCTGCCCAAGGATTTGCCGTAGGAGCTGTGACTCTAGGTAACCTCCTATTTGTGTTTACATTTAGATGTCCTTAAGAATTTTTTTTTAAACTTATTCTGTTTATTCTTAGTAGGAGTATTGGATTGAAATGATGAGAAAGGAGTTAAAAAGACTGATCTTTGCCTAGTTAAAGTTGCTTAATTTCTTAGGATTTTCATCTAATAAAACCTGACAAAAAACAACAAAACTGCCAGTAGGGAATTCAAGGGCAGGTGGTCACTATCCTCTAAGAAGTGGAGAATGCATCTACTCCACACAACTCTGTCAACAGCAGAGGTTCTGGCTCATCTGATCAGCAGATGTTTACTGAAGTACTTTAATTGGAAAGAACATTTTTAGAGGCCACAAATCTAAACACCCTTGTTTACTTTCATTCTATACATGAAGCTTTGCCCAGTGGCAGCATCGTAGGCCAGAGAGGTTAATCTGAGATGCAATTACTGCTAATGAAAACATTTCATAAATTTGAACATGAAAATCCTTTTTATAATTAACTCATAAACTAAATAAGGCCTATAGTCAAATATAAAGAACAGGTATAAAATTATCAGGGCTTAAAGCTATACTGAGGCTGAACCTGTTAGCTGTCCAACTAGATGTACTTATCAAGAAGTTATAACTAAACTCATAAATTAAATAAGGCCTACAGTCAAATATAAAGAACAGGTATAAAATTACCAGGGCTTAAAGCTACACTGAGACCAAACCTGTTAGCTGTTCAACTAGACATACTTAACAAGTTAATTGGAGGACCTAAATTATTTGATGAGTTTTGATAAACCAGCTAAGAATAAAATCTTGGGGCTAGGGAGATGGCTCAGTGGTTAAGAGCACTGGCTGCTCCTGCAAAGGACCTGGGTCGGTTCCCAGCTCCCACATGGTGGCTAACAACAATTTGGAACTCCAGTTCCAGGGGATCTGACACTCTCTTCTGGCCTCTGTAGGTACTACATGCACATGGTGCACAGATATTCATGCAGACAAAACAAAACACTCATACACATAAAATAAGAATAAATTCATCTTTTTTTTTAAAAAAAGAATACAACTGGGGATTGGGGATTCAGCTCAGTGGTAGAGCGCTTGCCTAGTGAGCACAAGGCCCTGGGTTCGGTCCTCAGCTCTGGAAAAAAAAGAATACAACTAGGGGATAGTTTGCTAGCCTCAGTATAAAAAAAACAGTAACCAGTTTCTACCCAGACAGCTCAGCTAAGAGCAGTGGCCATGTTCTCAGTCTACATGAACGGCAGGTATTACAGTAGTTTAACTGGGATGGAGGCATTTTCAGAGGACATGTTCTCAGGAGCCTTGTTCTCCTTGTATTCCAAGTTCGATTGGTAGGCAAGTTTGTTGTTTGTTTTGTTTGCTTTAGTCTTTTTTTTTTTTTTTTTTTTTGAGACAGGGATTCCCTGCAGCCCCAACTGGCCTGGAATTCACAAAGATCTGCTGGCCTCTGCCTCCCAAGTGCTGGGACCATGCCCAGCAGCACATTTGTTTTTTTAAAAAAATTAATCCATAAATTGGGGCTGGAGAGATGGCTCATAGATTAAGAATACTTGCTGCTCTTGCAGAAGACCCCAGTTCAGTTCCCAACATCCACATGGCTGCTAACAACCATCCTTAACTCCAGGTCCATGGGATCTGACACCCTCTTCTGACCTCCTCGGGCATTGTATGATATGGGTACACTTACACACATGCAGGTAAAACACTTATACACATTAAAAAAATTAATCCATAAATTAAGTAATACAGAGTCAAGTTCAAATAATTGGTGTAAAATTATATCATATAATTCAGGTTATACCAAAGCTAAATCTCTTAACTAGCTAATTAGACAGATTTTTTTTTAAAGAAGTCAATTTTAGGAGCTTAAATTATTGAATTTTTAAAGCCAGGCATAGTGGTACATGCCTTTAGTCCCAGCATTCGGGAGGCAGAGGCAGGTGGATCTCTGTAACTTCAAGGCTAGCCTGGTCTACATAGTGAGTTCCAGGACAGCTGGGGCTACAGGGAGATCCTGTCTCAAAAAGACCAAAAAAAAATTGAAATTTTAAAATCTGTATTGTCAACAAGTCACAATGTTCTTAAGCTCCCTGCATGAAGCTGGCTTCATGCAGAGACAGCTGAGTAGGTCAGAGTTCATGAGTGACGGTCAAGGGGCTTTTTAAAAGCCTGGTCTACGTAGTAAGTTCCAGGACAGCTGGGGCTACAGGGAGACCCTATCTCAGAAAAACCAAAATAAAAATTTTTTTTCTTATTTTTATTTTATGTGTATGAGTGTAATGCCTGCATGTACCTATGTCATGCAGTTGTCCACAAAGGCCAGAAGAGGGTGTCAGATCCCCTGGAACTAGAGTTGTTAGCTGCCATGTGGGTGCTGGGAATCAAACCCAGGTCCTCTGCAAGAACAGCTAGTGCTCTTAACCACTGAGCCATCTCTCCAGTCCCTGGGCATAGGGCTTGAAACAGTAAGTTATGTGTTGACTATTACCATAAGTTGTACACTGAGAGTCTGGAACCAAATACGAAGAGCCTTCTCCAAAGTGACAATCCTCACATTCATCACCTAACAAGTGTTTACGAAACATCTCCTAGGTTCCAGACACGCTGGTGCACAGAGAGAGAGGGAAGACTCACTCCCTGCATCCAGTAATTCACCCTCCTAAGGCAGAGACCAAAAAGATGCTGTGAAGTCACAGGTGCTATTGCAGAGACGGCACAGGCTGCTGAGAAAGCACAAGCACAAAGGAGGGGTCCTCAGCCAGGCCTAGGGGGTTGGGGAGAGGCTTCTAGAAGGATGCAAACTGTGTGATGAGCCAAGTCTATGCAGGAGCTAACCAGGGAGGGAGGGTCAGCACTGAAAAGCAGAGACACGGGAGCATGGCAGGTTATGGACTGCACAGTGTGGGTGCGCAGATGAATCAGTCAGGTTAAAGGGAAGAACGGCCAGGAGGGGTGTTTACGGAGGGATTTTATTTACAGTTTTTTGTTTGTTTGTTTGTTTAGGGGTTTATTGAGACAGGGTCTTCCAGCACTCCAGCTGTTCTGGAACTCACCATATAGACCAGACTGGCCTCAAACTCATGATCATGGACTATTTTGGGCAGTGGATGTGTCTCACTATGTAGCCCTGGGTGGCCTTGAATTCACAGTGCTCTTCATGACTCTACCTTTCAAGCGTCACGATCAGAGGTGTATGCCACCACACCCAGCCTTTTGTTTTTGCTTTTGTTCAGTTTGTTTTTTGAGACAAGGTCCTGCTACCTGGCACAGGCTGGCCTGGAACTCCCTAAGCAGTCCTGGCTCCAACAGTCTTTTTTTTGAGACAGTGTCTCCCTGCAGATCCAGCTGGTCCGGAACTCACTATGTAGACCAGGCTGGCCTTGATCTCACAGAAGTCTGCCTGCCTCTGCCTCCTGAGTGCTAGATTTCTGGAGCAAATATCATCTCACCCCAGCAGTTGTATGACATTTCCAATGGAACCTGGCAGAACACCAAGGGAATTCTAATTCTGAACTGTTGGGGCAGTTTACCAAGAATGGTTTCGCAGTACCCTGCCTCTAACCAGTGCCATTTTAAAATACACATTAAAACAACAACAACATGGCTGGAGACATGGTTCAGCAGTTAAGAGCACATATTGCTCTTGCAGAGGACCTCAGCTTGGTTTCCAGCACTGACGTTAAGCAGCTTGCAACCCCCCCCCCCGTAAGTCTAGCTTCAGGGGATCCAATACTCTCTTCTGGATTCCATAGGCCTTGCACTCCCATGCATATATACACATGTAGACGCACAGGTATACACATAATTTTAAAATAATAAATTTTTGCCAGGCATGGTAGTGCATACCTTTAATCTCAGCCATTTGTGAGGTGAAGGCTAATGGATCCCCATGACTTCCAGGACAGCCTGGTCTACATAGCAAATTCCAGGCCAGCCAGAGTTACATAGTGAGATGCTATCTCAAACAAAACAAAACAATAAAACACTCCATTTATTCAGCATCCTGATCAGGCTGTTAAATCTGGCAACCAACAGCATGAACACAAACTGTTGGATAGTGTTACTTTCCACAGAAACTAAAATAACTTGTTACATAGTTAGTCAAAATCCAGTCCTTGCGGATTCTGCCCCTAAGTGTTACTGTGTGAAATGACTTTGTAGCAGCAAGGCTGTGTTCACCAAAGCTGGAAGCCTGGGGATCCCGACAGCTCTCCAGTTCTTCTCTTCTACCAAGCTGTTACATGGCGATAGTTAAAATCTTCCGCCACTGCTGTAACGCCTTTGCTGCTAAAATCACCAGCCACCGGGTTTCATGGTTTAACATAGTTCTGGCTCCACACCACAAGGCCAGAGTTCCCACTTTCAGTTTCCTGGGCTGGCAAGATGGCTCAGCAGGCAGAGGGGCATGCCATCAAGCCAGAAAACCTTTTTTAAAAAAGACATATTCAATATATTTACTTACATAAAATTTAAAAGCTTGGAAAGGCTGGGGGAAATGGCCCAAAGGACAAAGTGCTTGCTGCACAAGTAAACGGACCTGAGTTCAGATCCACACAACTCATGTAAAGCTAGGCACCATAGCACACATCCATAATCCCAGTGCTCCTATGGCAAGATGGGAGGCAGAGACAAGAGAGTCCCTGTCAGCTGATGGGTCAGCTAGGTTGGCACACAGAGGTGAATAACAGAGACCCTGCCTCCAGCAAGGCAGAAGGGAAGGATTGTTCTGACTTCTACCATGCTATGGCAGGAACATGCCTGTAACTTACACACATGAGCATGCATACACACAAAAATTAAATCTAATAAAAAGTCTGGAGATGGCCTATCGCATGTGGAGAAGGACACCAAACACTTAGGTCTCACTTGAGCTCTAATTGGTTCACCAGTGAAGTAACAAGTGCCAATGAGGTAAGAAAACAGTTGTGACCATAACTTCAGGGAGTAACAATAGTTAGAAGATTGGCAAGAATTATCTCTAACAAGCCAAAATATCTGTAACAAGCCAAAAGGCAGGGAATCAGTCCAGAATTCTCTGAATCTGATATTTTTCTTTTTCCTTTTTTTTTCTTTTTTTGAGATGGGGATCTCAATGTCCCAGGTTGGCCTTGAACCCCTGAACTCCCTTAGTAGCCAAGGATGACCTTGAACAATTGATATTCCTGCCTCTACCTCTTGAGTGCCAGGATTACAGGTGTGTGCTACCATGTCTGGTTTATGTGGTACTGGGGATCAAATGCAAGACTTCGTGTATGCTACACAATCTACCAGCAGAGCTATATACCCAGCCTTCTGAGAGTGTTATTTCAGTTACAATATTCCAATTAAAAAAAATTTTGGCTTGAATTCTATGCATCAATTCTAGTTATATTAGTATTTAATTATAAGATTTTGCAACTTCTGACAGTTTACTGTCCTGTCGGGGCTACAAGAATAATTTACTGACCCTTTATCTAACTCTGTGCAACCTAGGAAATCATGGGCAGTCTCAGAAAAAAGTCAGAGGAGAAGTGAATGACCCCAACTACTAGATATCTGACACCTTGACAGTGAGATGGGGTGGGTTGCAGATCTGACACCTTGACGGTGAGATGGGGTGGGTTGCCGATCTGACACCTTGACAGTGAGATGGGGTGGGTTGCAGATCTGACACCTTGATGGTGAGATGCAGTGGGGTTGCAGAGCTGACACCTTGACGGTGAGATGGGGTGGGTTGCAGAGCTGACACCTTGACGGTGAGATGGGGTGGGGTTGCAGATCTGACACTTTGATGGTGAGATGCGGTGGGGATGCAGAGTACAACTGCATCTTTAACTTCTTCTCTTGCCATTGGCTCTGAAGACTTAGTAGCATGCCAAGCACTCATGGAAGCCTCTCCTCTTTTTCTTAGCCTATTTCACTTGCCTGCTCAACACAGTCCTAGGACCTCGAGGAAGCCATAGCTAGCATCTGCCTAGTCTCATAGCTGATTCACCCAATAGCTTGTCATCCCTAGAGCATGGATTAGATCCATTCACACGTGTTCCTCCCAACACTGACCACAATTAGATACTGAACAAATGACTGGTAAATTAGGATGCCTATATCTGATCAAACTTGCCAGGAATTTTCTCAAGATTTCTTTATTATTGTTTTTTTTTATTTTTAAAAGTATTTTATTACTTTTATGTTATGTGTATGAGTGTACTGCTTGCATGTATGTAAGTGCACCCATGTTATGCAATGCCCACAGAGACTAGAAGAGGGCATCAGATCTCCAGGAACTGGAGTCACCATGTGGGTGCTGGGAACCAAACCCAGGTCCTCTGCAAGAGTAGTCAGTGCTCTTAACCACTGAGTAATCTCTCCAGCCTCTGTTTTGAATTTTTTGAGACAGGGTCTCAGGTAGCTCAGGCTGGCCTTGAACACACTATGTAGTCAAAGGCAACCTTGATCAAAGAACCTTTCTGAGTCTCCTGCTTCTACCTTCTAAGGGCAGGCCTATGTCACCATGCCTGTACACTATTTTAAAAATCGAACATGAGAATGGTGTATCAGCATAAATTGTAATTCAGAATGGTATGTATATATATATATATAATATCCACATATATTTTTTCCTTTTTGTTAAACTTTTTAAAAATTTTTATTTTTTTTTATTTTATGTGTACGCATGTATTGCCTACATGTAGTGTACTGCAATGCCTGCAGAGGTCAGAAGAGGCTATCGGATCCCCAGGGACTGGATTTATGGACAGTTATGGCAGTTTAGCTGTCATGTGGGTGCTGGGATTCGAACCCGGGTCTTCTGTAAGAATAACCAGTGTTCTTAACTGCTGAGCCATCTCTCCAGCCCCCTTTATTTCCTTTTTGAGACAGCGCCTCCTTGTAGCCGCAGGTGGCCTGGAACTTGATACGTAGACCAGGCTGGTCTTGAACTCACAGAGATCTGTCTCTGCCTCCCAAGTGCTGGGATTAAAGATGTATGCCACCATGCTCACCAATACTGATTTTTTTTTTTTTTCGGTCTTTCTGAGACAGGGTTTCCCTGTAGCCCTAGCTGTCCTGGAACTCACTATGTAGGACAGGCTGGCCTTGAACTCACAGAATCTGCCTGCCTCTGCCTCCCGAATGCTGGGATTAAAGGCGTACACCACCACACCTGGCCTGATATTCTTTTTAAACACAGAATTAGCATTTAAATTTTTTATTTTTATATTAAATGTATGAGTGTTTTGCCTGCAAGTAGGTAGGTGCCCCTGTGTATACAATGCCTGTGAAAGCCAGAAGAGGGAGTAAGATCCTCTGGAACTGGAGCTACGGAAGGTTGGCTGCCACGTGGGTGCTGGGAACAGAACCCAGGTCCTCTACAAGAGCAGCCAATGCTCTTAACCACTGAATCATCTCTCCAGACCCAGAACTGGCATTTTTATTAAAGATTTTGTGTGTGCGCACAAACGTGCATATGTGCACAAACACCTGTGTCAATATTGATCTTAAAATACCTAAGGGTTGTTTCTATAGCCACTGCATGGTCTAAGACAGAACTTGGTAAGAGATTTTATTTGGTATTGATTCTTCCATTGTGGGATATTTTCAGAAAAATACAAGTGGGTGAGTCAGTGTTTGCTGGTGCTCTGCTGATGAATGGCTATCTCTGATTCTAGGTGTTCTCTATTCTATGTATAAGGATTACATTAGACCTCAATTCTTCAATATGTCCAAAAAATGAAGCCAGAAGATGGAAACAAGAAAAACAAGATCCTTCTGAAAGCTGGTGGTTATAAAGAAGGAATTTTCATTGGGTTCCATCTTATACCTTTATTTCTTCCCTTCTCTTCCTTTCCCTCCCCTCCCCTCCCTTCTCTTCTCTTTTTTTAAATCTTTTTGAGACAGAGTCTTCCTATAGTCCCGGCTGGCCTGGAACTCATTATGTAGAGTAGGCTGGCCTCACAGAGAACTGCCTCCCTCTGCCTCCTGAGTGCTGGGATTAAAGGCATGTTTCACCACACCCAGCTCATCTAGGAAGTCGAGGCAGGAGGATTACAAGTTCCACGTTGGCCTAGGGTATATTTTGAGATCTTGTCTAAAAAGTAAACATATAAAACAAATCTTTTTTTTTTAAAAAAAAGCAGGATTTTACTAGGTAGCACTGTCCATCCTCAAACTTGTGCTCCTCCTGTCTCAGTCCTCTTCAGTAGAAGATAACCTTTATTACAAAACCCAGAAAGTTCCCCAATTGTGTAAAGTTACTGAGTGAATGAAAAGAATGTATTTGTTGCATTAAAAAAAAAGCAATGCCAAGTATTTATTAACAGGGCAGCAATGTGCACAAACTTACAAACTCCCAGAAAGGCTGAGGAGTGTGCAGGAAGTTCATTTGTTCACTTCAGCGTGGGTAAAGTAGGAGGTTCACTGCAGGAGGACCCTGTAAATAAACACTATTTAATACCTAAATTTGTAAAACACTTTAGTGGGCTAATGCCATAATGTCTGAAACAGAGTATTTTCACTGGCTACTAAAATCCTTGGTGCCTCCTCATTAAACTATGCCCTAAGTCTGGGTGTCCTCCACCTGCCTGCCACATCAAGGTGGCATGCGGTTATGCAGCAACACCAATTATTTAGTTTCGCTGCTGCTGACATTCTGGTACACACTGTCAGAGTATCCTTTCACAATCTGACTCCAATGTTAATCCCAGGAATTCAATGAAAACATCTATGGTAATCTGTAGATTGTCTATATTGGTAGCTGTGTCTATGATTTGAATATGTCCCCCAAAGGTTCATGCGCTTGAAGCTTGGTCCCTAGAGTGAAGGGCTGAGAAGTGGGGAAACATTGAAGAGGTGAGGTCTAGTGCGAGACCATTAGTCAGGAGGTGGAGGGCAGGGGAACGGCACCATCTTTGTATGTGATTAAGGCAGTTTTCATGGAACTGAATTCTCATGAGAATTCTAACTATAAAAGAGAGCATCTCTCAGGAGGCTAAGGCAGAATCATCACGAGTTTCAGTGAAGAGAGAAAGGGTTATGAGAACGTACACAGCATGTACCCTCTGACCTCTGAGTTGCACTTTGCTTCCCAGTATGAGTTCCCCTCTTGTAAAGTCTCCCACCTTGATGCCATCCACAAGACACAGCAAGGAGGCTCTCATCAGAGAAGTTATGGCCCCATGTCTTTGAACTTCTAGAATTGTGAGCTAAAGAAATTTCTTCCTAATAAAGTATTCTGGTCTCATATATTTTATTATAACAGAAAACAGATTTAATAATACTGCATAATGATACTTCATATAGAAATCCAGACTTGTTAATCATGTATTAGAGAACAATAAAATGTTCCTGGTTTATTTTTGTTGTTTAAAAAAAATTTTTTTTGTTATTGTTTTTTTGAGACAGGGTCTCCCTGTAGCCCCAGCTGGCCTGGAACTCACTATGCAGACCTGGCTGGCCTTGAATTCACAGAGATCCGCCTGCCTCTGCCTCCCAAGTGCTGGGACTAAAGGCATGCACCACCACACCCAGCCTGTTTTAAAAACATTTTTATTTACTATTTTTATGAGTGCATTGATCGCCTGCATGTGTATAAGTGCACCTGTGTCATGTAATGCCCATGGAGGTTAGAAAAGAGTGTAGGATCCCCTGGAACTGGAGTTAGATGGTTGTTAGCTGCCCTGTAGGTGCTGGGAACCAAACCTGAGTCTTCTGCAAGAGCAGCCAGTGCTCTCAGCCATCGAGCCATCTTTCCAGGCCCTGTTGTTTTTGAGACAAGGTTTCACTATGTAACTCTGGCTGGCATGAAATCACCAAGATCTGACTGCCTCTGCCTCCCAAGGACTGGGATTAAGGTTGTGTGCCACCACACCCAGCTCTGTTTTTTGAAGACAAGGTCTTGATATGTAGCTCAGACAAATTCAAGATCCTCCTGCCTCAGCCTCCTAAATGCTGGGATTACAGGTATATATCACCATGCCCAGCTAAATATTTTATGTTTGTTTGTGGGTATTTTATTACACTTATTTGTGTGCATGTGAGTGGGAATGCATGTGCCATGGCACTAAGAGTGGAGGTCAGAAGACAACTTACGGGATTCAGTTCTCTCTACCATGCAGGTCCCAAGGATCAAACTCAGGTCTTCAGGCTTGGTGGCAAGTGCCTTTATCCACTGAGCCATCTTGCTGTCTCTCCACCAACTCCACTTTAAAAACTGGTATCCTTGTAGCCCAAGCTGGCCTCAACTCAATGTGTCCCCGAGGATGAGCTTGAACTTCCTGCTTCCACTTCCTGAGTGCTGGGATTGCTGGCAGGCACTGTGGTATGCAGCGCTGGGGACTGAATCCATGGCTTCATGCATGCTAGGCAAACAATCTACCTACTGGTCTATATCCCCAGCTTCTCAGCATTCTTCATTTTGCCAGAAAGCTATTCAAGCCTCATTCTTTAGACATCAAAGTCCTCTAGTGGGTTTAGCATGATTCAGTTTATTATTAAAGTTTCTGATTACAGGAGTTGGGTGACCATAGGGTGATAGTTGTAAACTTGTAAAAACTCAATTCTGTTCCTATTAATAGAGCATGAAAGAATTGAAAAGAGCTACAGAAAATCCCCAGAGCACTTTACACTACCTAGTATTAGAATTGTTCAGGGTCAGAAGCTGGAGAGAGGTGGCTCAGTAGTTAAGACCTCTGGCTGTTCTTGCAGAAGACCTGAGTTTAAATCTCAGCACCCACATGGCAGCCAACAACTATCAGTAACTCCAGTTCCAGGGGATCTGATGCTCTCTTCTGGCCTCCTCTGACACTGCATGACATGGGTGCAAGCATAACACTCATACACATTTAAAAAAAAAAAAAAAAGACAGGAGTGGAGTGGAGGGGTAGTATAGACAAAAAATTGGCTCTTCTAAGATTATAGTCTGTGAATACAAAATCGAAACACTGAAACGTCAATGTGTGAAGCAAAACCGTAACTTGTCAATTTTTGTTCTCCATTTTAAAATAAGAATTCTGACCTTGGTTGTGTGGTTGCTATGTTTAAGTCTCAAGAGGCCCCTGAAGTAGAAATGAGGGAACTGTAAAGCGTCATTTAGAAAACTCCCTGACACTTAAGAGGGTCAAGCTAGGCATAACTCTGTGTGTGTGTGTGTGTGTGTGTGTGTGTGTGTGTGTGTACACATATCATTTTTTGTTTGTTTTTTTTGTTGAGACAGGGTCTCCCTGTAGTCCCAGTTGGCCTGGAACTCACTATGTAGACCAGAATGTCCTTGAACTCAGAGATCACCCTGCCTCTACCTCCCAAGTGCTATGACTAAAGGTATGTGCAACCACGCCTGGCTATGTACACATATTATTAAAAGTACTGTTTTAAAATAAAGCTGAGAGGTCAGACACATCTAATGCTGAAAGACAAATGTGCCCAAGTCATATCAAGTCTATGGAGTGTGCAGACTCAGCACCTTGGAAGCCAAAAGGAAATGATAAAACTGTGTGGGTGTTAGTAAACTGTGTGGATGTTGGTGGGATCAAACCCAAGGCTCTGCATAAGATAGGCAGGAGCTCTAAAACTGAGCAGAACCTCCAGTCAAAACTTTTAATTCTTTTTGTTTTTTTGAGACAGGGTCTCTTGTAGACCCAGATGGCCTGGAACCTGATCAGGTCTGTCCTTGATCTCACAGAGATCAGCCTGCCTCTTCCTCCCCAGTGCTGGGATTAAAGGTGTGTGCCACCAAACCCAGCTTAAAATTTATAGTTCTTTTTTTTGGTCTTTTTGAGACAGAGTGTCCCTGTAGTCCCAGCTGTCCTGGAACTATGTAGACTGGCCTGGAACTCACAGAGATCTACCTGCCTCTGCCTCCTGAGTGCTAGGATCAAAGGCACGTACCACCATGGCCGGCAAAACTTTCAATTCTTAAAACTATTACAGAAGATTTTTTTTCCCTCCCTCCTTCCCTTCTTTCCTGTTTAAAGGCAGGGTCTCACTATGCAGCCCTACTTAACCTGAACCAGGCTGGCCTCAATCTTAGAATTCCACCTTCCTCTACCTCCCCAGTGCTGGGATTAAGGTATATGCCACTACACCCAGCAAGGAAAATGATTTCTGGTTAGCAACAGAGGAAAGAAAAAAAAAAAAAAAAAAAAGAAAGGAAGAAGTAAAACAATCTGCAACCCTACACACAAACAGGCAGTTGATCATATGCACACTGATCTTCTAAGTTCCCATTTAGTACTAATCTCATGTGTTATAAAAATGCTTAGAATTACTTAGGACATTCAAAAGAATATTAGCTGCCTCTTAAAACAGAATTAGGACCTAGAAATGGTATTTGGAGTGTCAATGCTAAAGTGGAAAGGACATTGTGGACTTATACAAACATTAGGAAAAAAATGACAATGACTGGGCATGCTAGTGCTCGCCTTTAACCCCAGCCCTCGGGAGGCAACGGCACTCAGATCTCTGTGAGATGGAGCCCAGCCTGGTCTACATAGTGAGATCCAGGCCAGCTGGGGCTACAGGGAGACCCTATCTCAAAAGCCAAACAAAAGAATCCCTAAACAACAAAAACAAACACAAAAAAGAAACACCAAATTCAACAATTAAAAAAGCAAATGATAACCAGGGTTACATGTGAACACTAAATAGAAGAAATGTTCTCTTTAAAAATGATGTGCTAAGGGCTGAAGAGATGGATTAGCTGGCAAAGTACCTGCTGTGCAAGCATGAAAACCTGAGTTTGGATCCCTAGGACCTGTGTAAAATCCAGGTGTACTGGCAAGTCTGTAAGATAGTTCATTGAAAAGTTCATTGTGAAAAAAAGCATCCCTCCCTCTAAATTGTGATCCAGACAAAACAAATAATTTATCTTAACATTTTTTAAAAAAAGATCAGTTTCATATAATGTTAAAATTCTACCCAAACTGGAATGTTCGGTTTACATAAATATATATTCATACATTGTAAATCCCATAATCAAAACTTGAGCCTGTGGGAACGCATGGCCACTACAGGCCCATCGTTTAACTCTGGCTACTGTACAACAATTGGAGGCAAGTGGATCTCTGACCTACACTTATAGCTGTTAGCTTTTACCCCTGTTCCCATGAGGAAATCTTTGCCTTTGTCCAAAACACTTGAACAAAACTCACCTCTGAACTAACAGAGATTTGTTTACAAATACTTGGCACAAAAGAGCTAGAGAAAGTGTTCTTATACAGTCTCTCAGGCAGTCAGAAAATCAGTCAGTCATCTAGACACAAATGAGTCAGCATCCACAGTGTTCAGAAGGTAGAGTTCAGGCTGAGCTGTCAATCCCAGGTGGTACTAAGGACAAAAACATGGAAGAGAATTAGGTTGACTTGCAAAGACTTGTATAGTAAATCAACATATTAATTAGGTACCTTTTCTTAGTACTTCTGTATTTATTTTATTTTTTAAATTTATTTATTATTTTTAAATTTTTTTTTTTTTGTCTTTTTGAAGCAGGGTCTCCCTGTAGCCCCAGCTGTCCTGCAAGTCACTAAGTAGACCAGGCTGGCCTTGAACTCACAGAGGTCCACCTGCCTCTGCCTCCCAAGTGCTGGGACTACTTCTGTATTTTCATGTCAGGAAGTGGTTTATGGATATATGTCTATCAGTGTCTCTCTTCCTTGTCCTCCCTCCCTCCCTTTCTTTCTTTTTTCAAGTTAAGGACCATTTTGTCAGAATTTAAAGGAAAAGCTCCAGGGCAGGCAAGAAAGAGAAAGAAAAAAGCCATGACTTTTGAATTAAGTCAGCCCCACAGTGGTGCAGCAGCATGTGAAAGGGAGGGGAGCTTCAGAGACAGTGAAGCCCAAAGTGTTGCAGAGCACATGCTTAGAAAAGACATAAAAGTTACACTTTTCTGAATAAGTGGGCAGACTTTAGAGTTTCATTGGCTGAGGCTCTATATGCAACTGAGTGGTTTTTAATATTTAAAATAATAGAGGCAGAGGCAGGCGGATCTCTGTGAGTTCAAGGCCAGCCTGGTCTACATAGTGAGTTCCAGGACAGCTGGGGCTACAGGGAGACCCCCATCTCAAAAAGACCTAATAATAATAAAATAATAAAATAATAAAATAATAAAATAATAATAATAATAATAATAATAATAATAATAATGGCTAAGAGTTAAGGATGGGGACAGTGCCAAATGCACTCTATCCTTGTGGTGCACAGCCTTAGGATGGGACTTTAGGATAATATGACCAAACACAGAATGCTTTTGTATTTTAGCACTGTGTGTATTGGAAATCACATTTCAAATTATCTAAATCCAGAGCCCTGCAATTCTAGCCCCATTATCCTTTGACACCTGAGCAGAGAAAAGCCTTTCATTCGAACAACAAAATATTATAAGCTGAGAAGAGATGACCTGCCGGTCCCAAAGCCCATCGGGATCACCTCAACTCTTTTCATTTCATTTACTTCTTGAATCTTTAAGACAGGGTTTCATGTACTTCAGGCTGGTCTCAAAATCACTGGGTAGTTGAAGATGATCTTGACCTCTTAATCCCCTGCCTCCATCGCCCAGTATGATAGGTGCTCACTACCACACCTGGCACCTCAAATGTTTTAAAACACATTCCCTGGTCCCAATCCAACAAAACCAAATCCAGATGGTTTGTGTAGGGATCTGTGAAAAAAAAAATATTTTTCTTTGAGGCAGGGTCTCATTACGTAGCCTGGGATGGCCTGGAACTTAGTATGTAGGCCAGTCTGGACTCAAACCCAGGGATGTGCCTGCCTCTGCCTGCCCTACAAAGGCGTACCCCATGATGCCAGGCAAGGAAACTACTTTCTCTCTCCAGTGAATACAATTTGAGACAATAACTGACTCACTTCAATCCTTCTGTTATTAGGACATAAGTAATATTATTGCCCCTTGACACCAACAGCCTGTCTATTAATGGAGAATATAGAATGTAAATCTCTAAGAAAGAACTGGGTCTGTTGTAATACAGAAGTTGGGTTTAGGCCCCAGCTCTTTCAATGTATCCTTTTGGGTTTTATTTTTTGCTTTGTTTTTTGAGATGGTCTCATTCTGCCGTCCTGACTGGCCTGGAACCTGCAGTGATTCTCCTGCTTCTGCCTCCTGAGTGCAAGGATCACAAGCATGCCTAGCTCTGGGTATACTTTTAGAACCTTATTCTATGTGTAAAATGGAAATTACTACATTTGGAAATGCCAAGCACACTAATATACCTCCTGTGAGTCTCCTATACACTTAACACACTGCTCTGTATGACCTCACAGAAATGAGGCTGTGAGGACACAGACCACATGGTACCCAGGACCCAAACATTCCCAACTAGTGGGATAGGAAGATACTGACAGTTTCAATTGCAGGACTTATATCCAGGCTTTAGGAACTAAGAACAACTGTCTGATTCACTGGCAATCCATGGAGACCTTTCCCCAGTAATCAGATGGCGAACTTTCTCACTCCATGATAGTATTATTGTATCATTTAGATGACTTCACAGACAGGAATCCTTAACTGGATGATTTTGTTGAATAGTTCTGAGAAATGTGGCTGAAGTATTACATCTGGGGGTACAGATGGGTACTAAGGAATATACCTACTATGCTTAGCTATTGCCAGGGTAGGACTCTACCCTGTCCTCTAAGTTGTTTCCAAACTTTTTAAAATTCTGCATAGACCACAGTCTACTAGTTGCTAAGTTTTGAAACAGGGTTTCCTCATGTTGTCCACTCTGACCTGGAACTAGATGTGTAGCTTAGGCTGGACTTGCACCTGCCATCCTCCTGTCCCAGCCTCTCAAATGTTGAGATTACAGGTTTATGTCACTAAACAATTTAATTGTTGTGATCTCTTGGTGTTCCTGGCGATACTAAAGGATAAGGCGTGGAGTCTTAATTGAGCTTGGAGGGTATAGTATACATTACACTGGGTGGTTTGGGAATGAACATGTATGCTCTGGCCTGAGTTGCTCAGGTTCCACTGACAACCATGCACTTATTAGCAATGTGATACAGGTAAGTTCTTTGAAGGGCATTCAGTTGCCTCATCAGTACAGGGGCTCAGCAATCTATTGAGGATTAATGAGCTAGCACAAGTGCTCAGACCAGAACTAGCACACAGCAATGACTCTGCCATTTTCATATAAAAGCTAAGGGGACAGGAAAGGATAATATACTTGACTAGTTCTGAAATTAAACCAAAACTAAGGAGTTTGCTGAAGCAAGCCAGCATAGAAAACCTCTCAGGACAGCCTCCAATATGCAGGTCCTGTGACACGGGATGGGAAGCTTGCAACAGAAAGGGAAAATGAAGTTCTACAGACGTTCTTGGGACAGTCGAGTGAGGACATATTTTCCTATCATGTGCCTGGTGACAAGACTCCAAGTCACTGTTCCTGAGTTTCACTTCTGTTTATAGTAACGGGCCAGCATACCCATTTACATCAGGTCTGCCAAAAATGCTTTTTTTTTTTTTAAAGCTAAGCAACTTCAGCAGCAGATTTCTGGCAGCAAATACCTATTGTAAAGTCTTTCCTGAATGGCAAGACAAGACTACAGATGGGCAAATATTCAGCTTAGAGCAAAGGAAGGGAGAAACAATTTTCAACTTATAAGATGGTAAAGATATGACCACAGTAAATCTATTCGACTAACTGGGTAAACTGAAATTGGTTTCTGTTTTTCATTTTAATTGAAAAATTATACTTACTTATTGTGTAACATATGTATGGGGGGGTCAGTGCCACACAGCACACATGGAGTTCAGGGGGCTTTTTTTTATATATACATTTTATTTATTATTTTTATGTGTATGAGTGTAGTGCTTGCATGTAGGTAAGTGCATCCATGTCGTGCAATGCTGGCAGAGGACAGAACAGGCTGTCAGATCCCCTGAAACTGGAGTTACAGACAGTTGTTACCTGTCATGTGGGTGCTGGGAATCAAACCTAGGTCTTCTGCAAGAACAGTCAGTGTTCTTAACCACTGAGCCATCTCTCTAGCCCCCTAGAGGAAAACTTTTAAGAGTCTGTTCTCTCCTCCCACTATGTGGGTCCAGGGGATCCAACTCAGGTTGTCAGGCTTAGCAGCAAGCTCCTTTACCTGCTGAGCCATCTCCCCAGCCCCTCAACTGAAATTAGTGTCTTGGTGTATGAAACAAATCCAAACCTTCTGGGGATGAAATCCATGTTCCTTCAGGAGATAAGTACTGACAGTGTGGGCTTTCAGTGTGCTACTCCTGATGATAACTGACATTTCTGTATCAAAGTTATTGAAACCCAAGTATTTTCAAGGTTAAAAAGAGTAATCAGAAAACCAAACAGGAAAAAACAAAGCTTTTTGTTGTTTTTTTTTTTTTAATTACAAATCAAGTTTACAGACTATTAAAGGTTCACTAAAAGCCTCCTTGTGACCGTCCCTTAACCCTCTAGCAGGACCTCACAGGAGCCAAGCTGGAGTTACTCTGCAGCTCCCTGTACATCTCTAGTACACTGGAGCAGCACAGTTATTTCCTGTCACATATATGAACAAGGAACAGTTCACAGAAAGTACAAATGCATATCCTTAAACATTTCCCACAAACATACTGCCAAACTCACTGCATGAGCAGACATGGAAGACTTAGAATTTTCACACATTGTTTATTATACAGAGAACTGTTTGAAAGACACTTTCTCTTGGTGACGATCAAATGAATAGGAGGCTATTTCAATTTGTAAAATACATTCATAGAATTATAGAATGCCATTTAACTAGGATGAAACTTCCTATCATTGTAAACAATAAAAATAACACAAAAGAATTTTATAGATCTGTGGTAGAGTACCTCCTTAGCACACATGAGGTCTCTATGTTCAACATCAAGCAGCTTTGGGCTGGGTTCTAAATATTTGTGAATCTAGATAGATTGTACCACACCCCCAAGATAAATGTGAATGTTATTGTGCAAGCGATTCTGTTGCTGTCAACATGGCCTTCACCTACTACAGCCAGACAAAACCTCAGATGTCAGTCTCCAATATCTTCAGAGCACCACTATGATCAGTTTGGGGACAATGGTGGTAGGGGAAAGGGCAGGTATGAGAAGGGACCAGCAAGAGAATTGTCACCTGTATTCTGTGCCATATTACCTGAGGGGCTAAGGAAAATGTGAGACAGCAAGTTACCTTTTATGCTTTATAAAAGAATTATTCAGGCTGAACTTTTGGCTGTGTGCAAAAATACCAGTAGTAATGTCACTGCAGATGACAGAGATCATCCATCCGCCAGCAAACCAGAAAGCACGCTCCAAAGAGGAGTCCTTCAAAACCATTCCCATCACTGCTGTCACCAAGAAAACGGCTATACAAGACTATTGTGCTTATTCATCTCCACCAGACAAATACAGTTTGATAGAATCAGTCTCAGGCCCCCCAAGTAAAAATGTCAGAAGCAACTGAAGAGCAGCAGTTCCACACTGAAGACTCCAGAGCTCTGCCATCTGGTCTCACCGTTTTTTTCCCTCTCAGGGAATGGCTATAAAGAAGCAGCCCAGTCCCATCTTGCAGGAAGAGAGGACTTCACAACCACAGTGACACCTACAGACTTGCTAAGAGACAGCAAGCACTTTGCAAAGGTTAAGTCCATAGTGCCTGAGATTGCCTTGCAAGTTATCTTGGACATGTAATGGAGTGGTATGTCAGAGATACATGATTTGTGAGAGGTGGCTTTCAGGAATAATGCTGTTAGCTCTTAGAACCCTTCCAAGTCCTCTCCCCAAACCCAAAGTCTTATGAGACTGTTAGTGTATCGAAGACACAGCCTTGTGCTATGTCCACTTTGTCTTAAAGGAAGAAGATGAAGTTTTCAGGACTCTATGCACTCAAGAGCGAGCATGATCAGAATGCTTGGTACTAACATCAAAGTTACCCCAGGACTCCAAAACAGCCCTGTTAAGTTTCCAATCTCAAAGGAAACCTTTCAGCAGGCACTGAGAACTGCCCACAGTGAGCTACCATCTGTTCATTTTCACCTTTACTGTGCTTTCCTGCTCCTCTTAATTTCCACTGAGAAATTATTCTGAATCCAATGAAAGTGGATGTCTTTAACTTTATAATTCAGATGGATACACCACTCTGGCTGGGTTTTCCATAATTAAAATAATTTGAAGGATTTTTATAAAAGCACTTCTCATCTTTTTTTTTTTTTTTTGCATTTCTCAGGTTTAATATTATCTTTTGATAAAACTTGCATGTCTATACTACCATGCCTGTCATTTGCATTACCCAGTTTTTAAAAACATGCACACCTGTAATCCCAGCACTCAGGAGGCAAAGGCAGGTGTACCTCTGGGATCGAGGTCATCCCATTCTACATAGTAAGTTACAGGCCAGCTGGAGCTACAAGGAGTCTGTCTCAAAAAAAAAAAAAAAAAAAAAATCATGCACAGAGGGGCTGGAAAGATGGCTCAGTAGTTAAATGCACTGACTGTTCTTCCAGAAGACAGGGGTTAAGTTCCCAGCACCCACGTGGTGGCTAACAACTTCAGTTCCAGGAGATCTCATGCCTTCTTCTGGTCTCCTCAAGCACCAGAAACACATATGGTGCACTTATATACAGGCAGGCCAAACACGCATACACATAAAATACTAACAAGAATCACAGAAAGAAATCTCTGTCAAAATAATAAAAACAAGTCCCTAGTTCTTGAGCAGCTACTTAATAATAGTGTGAGAAAGACAGCTCAAGTGTCACCTTTTGGAAGAGCCTACCTAATGCTAGAAGGTGAGAACCAACCCCCACCATCTTTCAAGCACACATGGAAAACGCCACCAGGCACAGCAGTGCACACTTAGATAATCCCAGCACTCAGGAGGCTGAGGCAGGAGAACTACTTCAAATTTGAGAATAGCCTGGGCCTCACTGTGAGTTTTAAGCTAGCTAGGGCTACAAAGCAAAATCCTGTTTCACACAAAACAAAACAAAACCTCAAAACATACATGAAACAAAATGTTTCCTAACCAACAGTTGAGTCCTAAATGTATTCTGTGCAACAGCACATACTTGGGGCTATGTTCACACAGTAAACCATAGAAACACACTGGCTCTGATGGCTCCCAGCAAAGACAGACAGATTGATCCAGTGTCTACTTAGTATAGCCATCGTTGGTGTCTTCTGCCAGCAGGACTTTAGAGATGCTTACCATGTGCCCACAGTCCAGGAAGGACAGGCCCAGTGCAATCAAACATTGCCAACCCTGCAAGATAAAACAGTCATCAATCACCTTGCTCTGAGAAGAGCCCTCTCACCCAGCACTGCTCAGATGCACACCTGCTCCCTGCCCTAAACATCCAGCTTTGTCCATCTTCTGTCTACATAGCAAGTTCTGTCCACCAAGGACTGTTCAAGGTAGGCTCGTTGCCCTTCTCTCCCTTCAAAACACCCTGGAGTCCATCCTCCTCAACAAAGTCTCCCTTGCTGTTTTCAAAACCTCTCTTTGCTCCTACAGTATTGTTTGTGGCTTATTTCTTTCATTCAAAGGGAATTCCCTGGTGGCCATTTTCCATCAGTTTCCCCAGAACACATAGAACAACTGTAGACTAATAAGCTAGGTGGAGTCCCCAGAGCTGCTCTGTGAAGTTCCTGGTTTGGTTAAGAAGCAGTAACCAATCCACTGTAAAATTGGCCCTCGCCTCCAAAAATGGGACTTGGTCAGTCTCACTAGCCTCAGGATCCCTGAGACAACTAAGCCTCTTCATAGGCATCTGCATGAAGGAAGGATTGCCCTAACTTTTAAGACAATTTTGGAAAACAATTCCTGTCAAGGACATATTCGGTTGGTTGGGCTTCTTAGTCCTGGGTGAGTACAAATAATCTTGTATGCTCAACATTCACCGGAAAGGGAAAGAGAAAGCATATACTGATACATGTTTTCAGTATCCACTAGTAATTTCTCAATCAGATCCTAATCTTGGCAGACACGGCACAGGGCTGGGTTAAAAATTCTAGAGATGACAGCAGAAATAGTAAGTTCTGGTGTTTCTTACCCCAACCTTAGTGTTTTTCAGAGAAATCTGTAATGAACAGAGGGCATCTGTTGTTATAATTCTTTTTTATTAATAAAACTAATGTAAAAGACTGGAAAAATAGGGGCTGGATAGATGGCTCAGCAGTTAAGAACACTGGTTCTTCTTGCAGAAGACCCCAGTTCAAATCCCAGCACCCACACAGCAGCTAACAACTGTCCGTAACTCCAGTTCCAGGGGAGCCGACAGCCTCTTCTGTCCTCTGCAGGCACTGCTGGAAAATAAAGAATCTATCTTTGTGTGTCTATGTGTCTTATACACATGTGCAGGGGTGGCAGAGGTCAAGAGGAGGATATCAAGTGTTCTATCAGTCTTGGATACTCCTTTAACATAGGGTCTCTCACTGAACCTATGGCTGGGCTAGCACACCTCAAGTGAGCCTTCTATCACTGCTTCCCCTCCCCCAGTGCTGGGGTTATAGACAGGCACAACCATTCCCATTTTTCACATAGGCTCTGGGGATTTGAACTCAGGTCCTCATGCGTGCACAGGGAGCACTCTTATCCAGTAAGCAATCTCCTCACCCCCCCATTTGTACTTTTTTTTTGAGAGACAGGGTCTCACTATGTAGCACTGGAATTTACTATGTAGACCAGGTTGGCCTCAAACTCAAAAGAGATCTACCTGCATCTACCTGCCAAGTGCCAGATTACAGGCCTGTACCACCACACTCAACTTTTATAGGCTTTTTAGAAACCAATTATTATTTGGGGGGCGGGGCATTTGAATGCCACTGTGCACATGCAGAGATCAGATGAGATCATATGACAACTTTGAAGAGTTGGTTTTCCTTCAAGTCATTAGGCTTGTACAGCAAGCACCTTTACCCACTGAGTCATTTTACCAGCCCCCAATTATATTTTCTTTTATTTTTAAAAAAATATTAAGTGCACCCATGTTGTACAACGCCTACGGAGATCAGAAGAGGGTGTTGGATCCCCTGGAACTGGAGTTATGGAGAGTTGTTAGCCACCATGTGGGTGCTAGGACTCAAATTTATACACACACACACACACCATGGTACATGCAGAGAACAGAGAACAACCCACAGGCATCGGTTCCAGGGATCAAACTCAGGATGCCGGTCTCGGTAGCAAACTTTACCCACTGGGACATCTCACTAGCCAATCTATCACAAGCTCCAAGTCTCACTGGCAGTCCTGTTCTTCAATGCCTGTCTTGTATCTCTCTCTACTCAGCTTTTCATTTCCCACACATACCACATTCTCTTTAGGAATTAAATACTGAATCCATGTAAAACTGACAGAAATAGGGAAAACCAGATACTAGAAACCAAAGTAAATTTGACAGTTCATAATATAAATAGCTGGTTGGGGATTAAAGTGCTTGCCTGTGAAAGTCCTGGGTTTAATCTAGTATCAACAAAAATAAAACAAACAATAACATTTCATGAATACAGACCTCAAAAATAGTTGGTTTGACCATGTCATAAAAATTGCTACGAGTTCATTTCTGAAGAACAGTTAGCTCCACCTGGACTACCCAGATACCCATGCTCCCCCGACTTGACTTACCAAGTAGAACACAAAGCAGAGATAAGCCACACAAACCACTGCAGCCACCACATACAATGCCACATGGCCTAGTTCCTGGACGTAAACCACTACAAAGTACATGTTGATGGAACAGACGAGAAGGACTAAGGTTCCACCTGCGATCCGCCAGCCTCTGTAAAAGAAGGGGCACAGTGAACAGTGAAACAGTCCAAACAGTCCGGCCTGTCTGGAAGGAAGCTGCATCATCTTGTGTGGTAAATGGGACAGAAGTTGGAAGAAATGTAAAATGAGAGCCAAAACTACAGTGATAAAGCAGAAAGGGGAGAAAGACAGGTTAAATAAATCTAGCACTTAACTTTATTTATTAGTGTTAGGTGTGGGCACGAACATATCACAACATACATGTGGACACCAGAGAACCACTTTAGTGAAGTCATTTCTCTCCTTCCACCGTCCCATGGGTTCCAGGGATCAAAGTCAGATTATCAGGCGTGTTTTTACCCACCGAGCCATCTCCCAGTCCTAAACCCTAGCACTTAAGACCACAGAAAGGCAACGCAAGTCCTAGAAACGTGCTGAGCCATTTCATTCGGGTGCTTAGTTTTAACTGCCAACTGGACACAACCTAGAATTACCTGCAGAGTCTTAATGATGAATTATCTACATGAACGTGGTCTGTGGACATGTAGGAGGGGTACCGACTTGATTGTTAGTTGATGGAAGAAGACCCAGCCCCTCCTGGGTAGCACCATTCCCTAGATAGGAGATCCCGGCAGTGGAAGAAAGGAGAGAGCTAGCTGAGAGCAAGCAAATAAGAATGTTTATTCTCTCTCCTCATGACAATGGATGTGCTGTAACTAGCTGCTTGAGTTCCTGCTTTGACGCCCACCAGATGACGGATCATAACTTGAAACTGTAAGCCAAATGAACTGCTTCCTCCCTTATGCTGTTTTTGTCAGGGTATTTGTCACAGTCACAGAAATCAAACTAGCAAACACCCCATATCTCTCCAAGTGCATACAAAAGGTATCAGATTATGCCTTTCTCATTGGATCATTTAACTCAGAATTCAAACTTTAAAGGCTGAAGCCAAAGAGTTACAGCCCTAAAATCTGAGTGAAAAAATGTGCTGCTTCTTTACAATGTTCACATTCTCCATTTTCTAAGCCAAAGAGGAAGCAGCTAGCTAGCAAAAAACAGAATTCCCTTTTACAACACATTTCTGACTGGCCACTTGAATAAAAATGCCCCTCCCATGTGTCAGCATCCCCTTTGGGAAATGATGACAAGTATACTCACAACCCATTGGAAAAGTCACTCATTACTGGCCGCAAGCTCGTGAATGTGAGGATGGGTATGAGAGCAAAGGGAAGCTGGAAAAAAAAATTAGATGGGAATTAGGTGGTCACTGAACCTCCACAGAGAACAGCATGTTCACATGAGGGAATCACAAATACTCTCAAGTATGCAATGGATAACAGTTATTCCTGTCATCCTGACTTTGTTAAGCATTATGTTCAACTTAGCATCATTCATGATCCCTAGTGTCTTTGTTTAAATACAACAGGATAGGGGGCTGGAGACTTGGCTTGGTGGTTAACAGCATTGACTGCTCTTGCAGAGGACCTTGGTTTGGTTCCCAGCACCCACAAGGCAGCTAACAACTGTCCGTAACTCCAGCTCCAGAGAATATGACACCCTCTTCTGACCTCTGTGGCACTGCACAACATGGGTGCACCTACCTACACCCAGGCAATACTCATACACATAAAATAAAATATTTAAATAAAAAATAAATACACAAGCACAACATAATGGATGTGAGTTGTCTTGTAACCTCCATAGGAGCTGGCACACTATTCTTGCAGTTCATTTAATGCTAGCTACATTAATGAATTATGATTTTGAGGGGTTGATTTATTTATTGATTGATTGACTGACTGATTAATTGATTTGTGTGTGTGTGTGTGTGTGTGTGTGTGTGTGCGTATGAGATATGTGATATATGCACGCATGTTCATGCCAAGGTATGCCTGTCTCCATGCCAAGGTATGCCTGTCTGATAACAACTTTGTGGAGTAGGTTCTCTCCTTCCACCTTTACATGGATTCTGAGGACTGACTAAGGCTACCAGCCTTGTGCAGCAAGCTCTTTACGTGCTGAGCCATCTCACCAGCCCTGATACTGTGTTTTATATGTTAAGTGTAGCTCATAATTTCTCTTCAGTGGTCTTCCATGCTTCTTTCTTCCACTTAATTGCTCCCAGTACCCAGCACCCAGCATGAGGTTTGCTACTCAAGAGCAAGAACTTAGTGCTGACTAAACAGGATGTGGTTTTCCCCCGCTCCCTGCTCACCTGTAAGCTCTGCAGAACATTCAGGAAGTCATTCATCCCTGTTAAATGCTCCACATCTTGGAAGACAGCAACAAGCAGAGTGGGGATGATGGCAATAGAGCGTGTCAGAATCACCCGGGCAAAACGTGACCACTTGAGGTTCAGGAATCCCTGGAAGAGGACATGGGAGCAGGGTGACTATATGGAACAGGAACTGGGAAAATGCCTGGGGAAGTTCAGGGAAGACCTTGGAAGCATGGGATTAAAAACTCAAGGGATGTGTTCTCCCCATCTAGTCCATACCAGGGCCTACCTCCATGACAAACTGGCCAGAATAGGTTCCTGTCATGGTGGAGCTCTGTCCTGCAGCCAGGATCCCCACTGCCCAGATGTAGAGTGCAGCAGGCCCGAAGTAACATCCCAGCACAACACCCTGGGACAGGCAAGGGAGAGACAGGGGCTTGTGTCAGTGACCTGCTTAGATCACACTTCCAACAGCACTTCTCTGCAGCACTTCCCCTTCCTTGCTAAACACCAACCACACCAAGGCTCAGGTTGGGCACTGCCCCAGAAGCCAGGCTCAGTTCTGGATCTGATGCTACAGGCTTCCAATCCCAGGTCTGCTGGGCGTCCCTTCAATACTCAGCCCAGGCCTTCCTCTTCTCCATGTCCCTAAAGCCTTCATCTCCAGCCTCCATCCTAAACACTGAAAAGGCAGAAGTCTCCCTATTTCCCGAAGCGAATTCCTTAATGCACGATTCTGGAAAATGGCAGGTGTGGAGGGAACAGTCAAATAAATGTGGGAAATGGTGTGCATTATGTACTTGGTTCCTGGAGGGTCACAGGGTAACCAGTATGAAGGGTCTGAGGGAGCCTGGTGAAGAACACTTTCCTGGGACTGGACAGATGGCTCAGTGGTTAAGAGCACTGACTGCTCTTGCAGAGGACCCAGGTTTGATTACCAGCACCCACATGATGGCTAACAATTGTTCATAACTTCAGTTCCAGGGGATCCAACCCCTTCTTTTGACCTCCTTGGGCACTGCATGACACATTTTTTAAAAAATGAAAAGAAAAAAAGAACACTTTCCTAAGAACATTTTTTTCAGTCACACCAGTTAACTTTACAGTAGAACTTTATAGTGTTTTCACAAGTTTAGGAATTGCATGTGCGATCCATTATCTGAGCCTCTACCCACCTTCTCCCACGATGCAACCCCCTACCCTACCATGCAACCCAAAATGCTTGTCTGGCATATGGACCTCTAAAATAAATGACATGCCAAAGGAGATATACGCTGGTCTGAAACAAATCCACAAAAGGCCAGGTAATGTGGTAACGTTTTTCCAAAAGCAAATTATCACAAACCAGACATGCTTACCCCTTTGTAGATGTCCACAGCCAGAGTTGAGTTATCATTAGGAAAGAGGCCAGTATGGGGACTGCTGCTATTTCTACAGACCTCAATCTGAAATCCAAAGCAGTTTAAGAACGATTTTGTTTTAGTGGCAAGATAAGATAAGAGACAGATAAAGCTCCCCTATTCATCTTACAAAACTGTACATGAGATAAGCTGGAAGAAAATGCTCAAAGCAGGTCATTAAGAGGGCAGAGGGCCACTACCTGTGATCCTCCCCACAGCTGGTTCACCTAGTTCATCAAAACCTTCACAGAGACAGTTTGCATGGCATTAAATAAATGCTGATGCTGAAGCACTATAAATGAAAACATGAGGAAAGACTCTTAAGCCAGCACTCAGAAGGCTGAGAAAGAAGGATCATAGGAGGCAAAAGCAGGCAGATCTCTGTGAGTTCAAGGCCAGCCTGGTCTACATAGTGAGTTCCAAGACAGCTGGAGCTACAGGGAGACCTGTCTCAAAAAGACCAAATAATAAAAAATAAATAAGTAAAAATAAAAATAAAAATAAATGATGGGGGTTGGAGAGATGACTCAGCAGTTAAGAGCACTGACTGCTCTTGCAGAAGACCCAGGTTCAGTTCCCAGCACCCACATGGCTACTAACAACCATCTATTAACTCCAGTTCCAGGGAATCTGGCGCCCTCTTCTGACCTCTGCGACATGGCATGACACGGGTGCAATTATTTACATACCTGCATTATACTCATACACACAAAATAAAAACAATAAAATATTGTTTTAAAAATGATGGTCAGAACTAGATAGGAACCTGGGCATGCAGCTCAGTGGTAGAATATTTGTTTAGCATGCACAGAGTATTGGGTTCAACCCCAGCATCTTAGAACCAAATGAAACAACAACTAAAATAAAAGAAAAAACAAAAAACAAAAGAAACAAAGCCCATAGGCAGAATCAAAGGGATGTTGAGTTCAAAATGACCAAAGACTTGCCTTGTCACAGTGTGTGCTGTTTGCTCATTAAGACAAGCAGGAGGCAGGAAGGCAGAAGTTAGTACAGAGGAAACAGAAGGGGTGACAAAGAGTCAGACAGCCCTGAAGCTACCTATACGACAGCATGAGGCAACTCTGAGTTTAGGGCCAGCTCTCTCTCATTCCAGCCAAAAGCTTGCAGTTTACCCCAGCATTCACTGCCACCACAGCCCTGGCTTACTTACCACCTGCTCGTTGGTTTTCCCGAAAAATGCTTCAGCAAAGACTGAGACAACGAAGACATTGATGATGAAGGAGACAAAGAGAGCGATGCAGGATTCAATGAAAAAGTACTTATTGGCTTCTCGAACTTCCTGCTTACTGGCCCGATTTACTTGTCTCGACTAGAAAGATAACAGCAGCAATAAATGTTTTACCAGTTGTGGCAGGTTTGCTTGTTAACAATTCAGAACTTTGGAGTCAGCTTAGAGATGAAGAGGACAAACAACTGAGTAAATGAAATGTGAGAGATCCTAGTTCACCAAGTAACGAAGAACTCCCTGATCTCTACAACACTGTACATTCTACAAACGGGATGAGGGGACAGCGACTGAGTGACTACTGAACTCTCAGGTACTGTGGCTGGAGGATAACCAACTGGCTGATTTCAGTCCTGAGGGGGTATAACTAATTATGAAGGTCTACGAAATCTCCCAGCAAAGGAATGCCTGACTTACTGGTAAAGCCCTCCTTTCTTCCTGGTCTCAAGACTATTCCAGCTCTGAGATTAAACCACAAGAGGCTTGAAGCATTTTCAGACTTTTTATGAAGAACATGAGCCCAGCTTTTTTGTAGGGTCACTATCCCTGCCAATCTGGTGATAAAATGTAGACCACCAGCCTTAACTCCTTTAGAACTCTTAACAGTCACACGCTAACTCTGGTCCCTTACATTTAAAGGAAAAGATCCCATGAAGTAAATGGAAGGGTACTGCTCACCTTGACTAAGGCAGAATGCAGGTACATGTTGTGTGGCATGATGACAGCTCCCACGATGCCCACAGCCTGCTCAACCTGTGGGGTGCGACAGCCTGAACAGGATGGCACGAACATGCCCTTGAGTACCTGGCTCTGGTTGGGCTTCACTGTAACATACTACACACCAACATAGTACCTATTAGCCTTTACTGCAACATGGAATGGGGAGTAACAAGCACTAGGGAACCCTCAGGATCCTGTACTCCTTATAATCCCTCCTGTCACAGCTACCTAGGATATGAAGAATATGGAATCACAAGAAAAAGTATCATCCAGATGCAGAGATAGATGCCTGTATCCCCATAGGCTTGTGAAACTGAGGTAGGATATCTGCTTTGGCCCAGGAGCTCAAGAACTTCTCCATAAGGAAAAACAAAAACAAAAACATACAGATGGTGGTAGAGTACTTGTCTAGTACATGCAAGGTCCTGAGTTTAATCCCCAGCAACATCAACAAAAAAGAAACATAAAGGGCTCTTGTGGTTTGAATATGAAACGTCTCCCACAGGCTCAGGTTTGAATTCTTGATCCCCACCTGGTTGCACTAATTTGAGATGGGATGAGAACTCTGGCAGGTGGACCTAGTTGGAAGGTCACTCGGGGCAAGCCTTTCAAAAGCATATCTTGCCTCAGCCCTTCCTTCCTCTCTCTGCTTCCTGTCTGCCACAAGGTGGAGAATTTCCTACTCTACATACTCCTGCTGCCATGGTACTCTGCCCAGGAACCACGGACAGAACCCTCCGAAACCATGAGCTAAGTAAAGCTTCCTCCTCCTGCCACCTTTATCAAGTACTTTGGTTACAATTACAAAAAGTGAGTACAGGGGCTTGTTGCCAGACTATATTCTCTAAACATTTTACATTCCATTTCAATGTAGAAAACAGGAATGCAGAGGACATAATGTTCTAAGAAAATGGCTGCTAATTATCTTTTCAAAATTATGTATTTATATTTTTATGTGTGGGAGTGTTTTGCCTGCATGTATATAAGTGCATCCATGTCCTAAAATGCCCCTGGAGGTCAGAAGAGGGCGTCCAATTCCCTGGAACTGGAGTTTATGTGTGGGAGTGTTTTGCCTGCATGTATATAAGTGCATCCATGTCCTAAAATGCCCCTGGAGGTCAGAAGAGGGTGTCCAGTTCCCTGGAACTGGAGTTTATGTGTGGGAGTGTTTTGCCTGCATGTATGTAAGTGCATCCATGTCCTAAAATGCCCCTGGAGGTCAGAAGAGGGTGTCCAATTCCCTGGAACTGGAGTTTATGTGTGGGAGTGTTTTGCCTACACGTATATAAGTGCATCCATGTCCTAAAATGCCCCTGGAGGTCAGAAGAGGGTGTCCAATTCCCTGGAACTGGAGTTTTCTAGGGTTGTTAGCCACCATGTGGATACTGAGAACCGAACCTGGGTCCTCTGGAAGAACTGCAAGTGCTCTTAAACCACTGAGCCATCTCTCCAGCCTCCTGTTAATGGTCTTAATGTTGTTATTGTTACTGAAACCCTATGATACATATACAAGAATAGATCTAATTCCTTTTTTCTTTTTTTTGAGATGGTCTCACTATGTGGCCCTGGCTGACCTCAAGCTCACAGAGATCAACCTCTTGCCTCTCCCATGTGAATGCCAGGATTAAAGGCATAAACCACCACGCCCAACAGATCCAGTGCTCACCTAAAAATCACTTTATGGTGCCACTAGTGTGCAGTGAGCCGGCATTTGTAAGCGCTGCTCACTCACTTTTCTCTTGCAAGCCCTGCAACAACCTGTATAGTCGACTCAGACTAGAAATGCTTTCTAATATTCAGGCAGGCCTATACTCAGAAATCAGTTTACACTGACATAGAAAGAGGCATAATGGTACTGATGCCTAGGAATGAATTGAGGCACAAATTACAAAATATCCAATTAATCACCTATAATTCACCAACTGTTTCAAGAGAGGAAAGTTCAAGCTGTAATTAAATGCAGCAGGACAAGCAAAAGCAGAACTGCTTTGAATTCACAGCCAAGAATAACCTTGAAGCCTCCTCTCTACCCACTCCAAATCTGCTGTTGTCAGGAAGGCTCATTTAGGACCAAAAAAGTCATCCCTGGAAGGTCCTAGAGGGTCTAATCATTTGTGACCCACAAGTCTCTACAAGCCTTCTAGCATATGAATCCTTGCTATAGATTCTACTCCTTCAAAAATCAGCCCAGAGGTACACTGGCTTTTACTGATAAAACACAATTAAACTATTCTGGCATTATTACTGCTTTCTACAATAAGAGGACATAAAGAAAACAAAACTTCATTTTCAAAAGCTAATGAACAGCTTGTAACACTTGCCTCATATCCAAATGTGAGGGCCATAATAGTGATGAGAAAGCCAAAAAACGCTTCCAGCTTCCGTAAGCCTAGAGGGGAAACACAGCAGTCAAGGCACAAAGTGCAGACTTCCCCAGAGCCACGTGACAGAGTGACAGATGCTGGCTGCTTTGACTCGTCCCACGGCTCCTGTGTTCTTACCGTATTTGTCCAAAAAGAGAAATACAAAAGTATCTGCGATGGTGATGAGTACTCCACCCCACAGGGGGACCCTAGGATAGAGACAAGAAGTGCAGAGTAAGGGCACTGAAGTCACTTTCTTCACATTTTGTCCACTGAAGAACACTGGAGAAGCTGGGCCCTAGGGGAGGAGCAACACTAGCACAAAGCCAAGCCTTGGGTAGCAGAGAAGCAGCACCAACTTGAGTACATTCACTGAAACCTCCCTTGAGAGTTTATAGTCACATGCGTAGAACACCCAGCTGAAAAGCAGGAGCTGGCTCATAAGGACCTCACTAAGTAGTGAGATAAACAGTCCTACAAATAAATAATTGTACTGAAAATGCCACCCACCCTACTTAAATAGAAGATGTAGAGATTATACCTTCTGGAGGTGAAGGCAATGCCAGAAGGCCTTCGTAAAAATAGTAAGTTAAGGGCTGGAGAGATGGCTCAGTGGTTAAGAGCACTGACTGCTCTTGCAGAGAACCCGGGTTCAATTCTCAGCACCCACATGGCAGCTAACAACCGTCCCTAACTCCAGTTACAGGGGAATCCAACACCCTCTTCTGACTACATGGGCACTGCACGACGTGTGCACTTACAGGCAAACAATACACTCATACACATAAAATATAAATAATAAATAATTTTAAAAATAGTAAGTTAAATCTTGAAAGCTAAAAAAGTAAGCTGGCCTTGGCTTTGGAATCCAGCACAATACCGACAACATTCTAAAAGAAAATCCCCTCACCTTCCTGCTGACAAGAGATTGATGGCGATGGCTGAGCCAATGACTTCCTGCATATCGGAGCCAATGATGGCCACCTCCACCATCAGCCACAGGATGATTCGTGGGACCTGCACAGCAAAGAGTGGTTCTGATTACTCATTTCTAAGAACTTCCTCCTTTGTCTGAAATTCAGGTTTTGGCACAGACCCACATACAGTCCTCCGTAAGCCACCAGAGTAGAAAGTTTGAGGACAGTCTAGGCTACAAAGACAGTAGGAGACTAGCCTGGGGGAAAAAACAAAAACAGAAAAACAGAACAAAATAAAAACTTGTGACTAGACATTTAGGACACATCAAAGGGAAGCCTATTTCTTTTCTTTTTTTGGTCTTTTTCAGACAGGGTCTCCCTGTAGCTCAAGCTGCCTGGAGCTCACTCTGAAGACCAAGCTGGCCTCAAACTCACAGAGGATCTGCCTGCCTCTGCTTCCAGAGCCCTGGAATTAAAGGCGTGTGCCACCACACCCGGCATCTATTTCACATTTTAAAATGCTAACCTATAAAACTTTTTCAGGAATGAGAGAAGCTCAATAGCAGAGTCCTTGCCTAGTATATGTGAAGCTGAGTTTTAGCCCCAGCACTACCACTTTGGCAACAAAGTCTTCCCACATAAAGGTCACTCCTGCTTTAAGTGGTGAAAAAGGGCAAACAGTATCTAGAAGGAAGCTATAGGAACAGAGTAAATTGAAAATAATTAACAAATCCAAAGATCCTACCACATACACTTTGTAATAAAGAAAAAAAAAATCATCTTCCAAGTCACGGTAGCATCCAACAAAGGAGAAGGGATGTAAGTGCTCACTCATGCACAACTGTCCTACGGAAACCTAGAAGAAAGTGAAGCCCAGAGCTAGGCATAATATAAGCCTGTAATTCTAGGCCTTGGGAGGTAGAAGCAGGAGGATTAGAAACTCAAGGTCATCTTTGGCTACATATCAAGTTCAAGGCCAGCCTGGGCTATATGAGAGCCTGGGCACTTTAAGCAAACAATCAAAATAACAACAAAACAGCGGGTCCCAAATTAGATTCTGAAGGATGAGAAAACATGATTTGGCAGCAACAGGGGAGCAGGACTCCCTTGGTACTTCCAGTTTCAGGGCCACTGACCTCCAACTCCTCCACTGGCTCAATACAGAACAGGGCCAGCACATACCACAAGACACACAGATTCCTATACAGGTTAAAAGATAAATTGGACATCGCACTGCTCACCTTGGGATACTGACGGTGACACACTTCAGCAAGATGCAGGCCAGTGACCACTCCCAGTCTAGCTGCAAGGCGCTGGAGCAACAGCCCCACGATGGTGGCCAACAGAAGGACCCAGAGCAGCTAAAGACAACACCCAACACTCATTAGACAACAGTGGTCTTCTGCTTGGATGTTTGGCAATGTTAATGGGAAACAGTCCACTTAGGACAAAGCCCAAGTTCTGATCAAGTTCTACATATGACCTACTAGGCAGCTTGCACCTTTCTGAGTCTCAATTTTTCCAAACTGTCATTCCTCTTTTGTTCAAGGAAACTCTGTAGATGAAATACAAAAGACCAAGTGGCAAGCATTTTTTATCTAAGTGTCACTGCAGATGAAGAACCGAGCACCTTGGAACAACAAGGGAGATCAGGGCTACCAACCCTCCACATACTCAAAAATCTTCATATAACATCAGCTCCCTTAAAATTTTACTAAGGGTGTGTTTTTCAGAAGTCTTATTAATAATATAAAGTCAACTAACACACACTTTACACTTGATTGCAAGAAGCGATTAGCATGTTTTGTATAAATATTACGTATGGTGGAAACTACGTGAGAACCCAAGAATCACTTTTTACTGCAATCTATCATTTATTGGAGAGGCAAACTGCTTACACAAAAATGATCAGCCACACAGCACTTTAAGCAAACAATCACAATACCTGAGCTCAGAACAGCAACAAGTGGCTATCACAGAAGTACAGCACATACTACAGCTAATTCTCTAGCCTTAGGATGTAGTAACAGCTCATATATGTTTATATTTCTCTCAACTAAGAATAGTTATAACATTAACTGTATTATGTGCCTAATATTGTAGAAATTTTAACTTTAAAAAATTATTTTCTATGTGTATGAATGTAAATGCCTGCATATATATTAAGAGCACCTGTGTTGTGCAGTCCCCCTGGAGGTGAGAAGAGGGCACCAGATCCCCCCGGAACTGGAGTTACAGATGCCATGTGGGTGCTAGGAACCAAACCTGAGTTCACTGCAAGAGCAGCCAGTGCTCTTAACCACTGACCCATCTCTCCAGCCCCAAATTTTATTTTTTTTTACAATAGATCTTTGTATATCCAGGGATAAGTCATAAAACAGATTACTACCTGTGCATATTTTATTCATTCATGACTAGCTTGAATTTTTCAGTATTTCTAGGCCATGCAGTTCATCTGTGAGTTTTTCAAGTTGTTGCAAATCTATGGAAGGATGTAGGTAAGTCTGAGCACAGTTCAAAGCTGTGTTGCTCAAGGGTAACTATACTTGTAGGTAGACCCAAGAGCAGAGAGCAGGACAGAGTGTGTAATGGTCCTCAAAAGGGCCTGGGTAGAATGTACAAGATTCAATCCTCAGCCCACAAAAATAACAGTAATAAATAAAATACAAGTAACAAAAACAATAATAAAACTAGATGTTCACCTTAAATCCAGCTACAGCTCCAGACTGCAAATCAGATTCAATGTTTCCTGGATCCAGATAGGCAATGCTCATAAGAAAACCAGGTCCCGTGAATGCCCAGAGCTTACGAAAGCTAAAACAAGAGTACTACAAAAGAGAAGAGATTAACCTAGGGTCACCCCATCTAGTATCTCTATTTGATCACATATCAAGGAGCAACACCAGCACTACAGGAGCACAAGATTAGAGTAGACCATGTGTGCATCCAACCCTGCAGTCTGGTGGCTCACTTTGTATCAAGAAGATGGCCATGTCTCTGTGACAGCCCCTCTCTTCCCTGCTCACCATCAATGGCTCATTCTAAAACTAGTACCATAGTACCTCTGTGCCCCAACCACTGCCCAAATAGGACCAGAGCCACATCTATGCTTTCCTAATTGAAAAAAAAAAAGCCCAAAATACCACTTAGCATTTACGTTTGAAGCCCCGTTTCCACAGCGGTTTACTTATTTTGATGATAAATATGTAGTCATCAGAGACTGGCTGTCATAATCAGACCTGAAGCTGTTGAGCTTGAGGCTGCCAGAGGACCTTTCCCTGCCAGGACCTGTCACTAACCTCCTCATCAGGAATGGGGATCTTCTCATCAAAGTAGGTGGTGAAGGGCTCCTCTGAGTTCCCAGTGGACTGTGGAAGGGAGGAGTTACTATAGGCAGGGTTGATGGCACCAAGACTGGCAGAGTCTCTATGGTCTCCAGATGCACCATCTGAGTTAATATATGAGGAAAAAAAAAATTAAAATGACAAAATACACCACCAAGCATTCCCAGTATTATGGAAATCAAAGCTTTTATATTTCTGATAGAGATCTAACCTACAGTCTGTTACATGCTTTTCTATCACTGTATCACTGAGCAACATCCTTAGCACTGAAAATTAAATCTGTGCACAAGAGAGCAATCTGACTTTACCACAGTATAATTTTAATGGTTTATTTTAATCTATATTTTAAAATAAATGCATATGCATATATTTATTTAGAGACAGAGTCTCATGTAGCCCAAGCTGGCCTCTAACTCTCAATGTAGCCAAGAATGACTCTAAACCTGATCCTCCTTCTCCTGACTCCCAAGTTTGGGGATTACAAGCATTTGCCACTATACCTGGTTTTGTGTTGCTAGGGATACCCAGAACTTCATGTATGCTGGGCAAGCACTCTATCTACTGAGCTACATCCCCAGCCCAATAAATTTATTTTTATTTCTTTTTCTTGTGTTTTTTTTTTGTTTTTTGCGGGGGGTGTTTTTGAGACAGGTCTAGCCCCAGCTGGCCTGGAACTCGCTATATAGACCAGACTGGCCTTGAACTCACAGAGATCCACCTGCCTCTGCCTCCCGAGTGCTGGGACTAAAGGTGTGATCCATGCCCGGCATGGGTCAGTTTTAATACTAATTTCATAGTCCTTTTTGTACTCAACACTTCTACTCCCACTTGGTAATTTTTAGAACCATTTCATTATCCTCAAAGAACTCTGACATGCTTGGGAGGCCATATGAAAAGGTCACAAGTACCATATGTGGTGGTGCTTGCCTTTAGTCCCAGCACTTAGGAGGCAAAGGCAGGTGGATCTCTGTGAGATCAAAGCCAGCCTGATCTACATAGTAAGTTACATAGAGATTTTGTCTCAAAAAAAAAAACAAAGATCAGGCATGGTGGCTCATGCCTTTAACCCCAGCACTGGGTGGCAAAGGCAGGAAGATCTCTGTGAGTTAAGTTCCAGGCCAACTGGGGCTACAGTGAGACCCTGTCTCAACAACACCAAAGGAAACAAAACAAAACAAACAAACAAGTAGTTTGAGGCCAGCCTGGGCGACATAAAAAGACCTTGCCTTAAAAAAAAAAAAAAAAAAAAAAAAAAAAAAAAAACCCACATACCTAGGACTCAACATGTATCATTGCCAGGCAAGCCCCACTAGCAACCTAAGATCTTAATTTTTAAAAGGTAGGTCAACTAGAACACCCTCCCACCCATTACCTGGTAGCACTCACTCAAAGAGCTGTTCTTAGACATCACACCTCCATCAGGCTTCCCACAGCACAGGTAGAAACTGGAGAACCTGCCAGAGTTCAGGTTCCAACCTGCTGCTAAAGGGAAACTACCAAGCAGGAAGGCCTAAGGCCTAGACTCAGGACTGAAGGACTGGTGATCACGGGTGTCAGCACCCTCCCTCGTGACAGCAGGGCTCATTTAAATAGCAGTGTTTCCCCTGAAGCCTACATTTTACAGTTAATCTTAAACACAGGGAGGGTAAGGTCTGGCAGAAGGGCTAATTCACCAGAAGTATGCAAAGTTCACTTAGCTGCAGGCATCAAATGGCTAGGCTGAACCACAAAGCTTTATTATCTTTCCCAGAAATCCCTATAGCCTCTAATCAGAAAAGTAAGAGTTTCATTTCATCAGCAGCTGATCCACATCATCTTCAGTAAGTACCCTTGCAGCAAGGAGGGAATTTACAGATAAGGCCTGGAGATTCCAAATGACAAGGTCAGATTTAGACAGAACCAGGCATATCACCAAGCATAAGGAACCTGCCCTGCTGTCCTGTCACACACACATCTGAAACGCTGGCAAGTATGGCGAACAGTCTGGAGGTCACCACTAAGTCTGCAGCAGTGTGGCCCCTGCAAACCTTACTCTCTGGAAACCAACCTGTGGCCAATCACAACTTGACTGTGAATCAGAAGTACCATCTGGGGCAGGAATCTATGAATATAAATTCATTTCATTTGTAACCTGACACCAGACAGGGCTTTTGATTGGACTTTTTGGAAAAGACAAGAGGGACACTGTAAATTCCTGCTACTGAAATAAGCCTGATTCCACGTAGAAAATGACACAAAGCCCTAAATTACCATCTGGCATCTTTTCTTCAGGACCCAGCACCATGGCAGAAACCGGAGTGTCTGCTTTCTCAGAATAGGATTCTAGAAAAAAGAGAGGGGAAAGAATTAGCAAGAACAGACCTAACACTTTGTTACTCTTTATGACTGAACTCTCACTATATGAAAGAATAGTTCTTCTGCACAATCAGATAACCCTGACAATACAGCTTTCGCAACATGGTCAAGAGATACTAAACAAAAACCGAATGTTGAGGCCAGCAAGATGGCTACGCTGGCAGCCAGCAAGACCCAGGGATCCTTCAGACTCCGCCTCCTCGCTAGGGTCACAGGCAGGCACAGAAGCACACTTGGTTTTTAGGGTTGCTGGGTTCCCAGCTCTTCCTCATGCTCATACATCAAGCACTCTTGATTGCTGAGCCATTTTCCATCCTCAACAAATCTTTTTTTAAATATTATTTTATTTTATGTGTATGAGTGTATTGGCTGCATGTATGTGAGTGCACCCGTGTTGTGTAATGCCACAGAGGTCAGAAGAGGGCTTCAGATTCCCCTGGAACTGGAGTTAAGGACGGTTCATAGCTGCTATGTGGGTGCTGGGAATCGAACCCAGGTCCACTGCAAGAGCAGTCAGTGCTCTTAACCACTGAGCCATCTCTCTAACAGGCTGCTAGACAATTTACCCCGTCTCTGTCTTCGCCTCAAGATTAACCCAAATATCTAATACCAGAATAATCTCCTTTGATTTTATAACTTTTAAGAACAGAAAGCAGTCAGGCTTGTAATGAAAAAATTTGGGAGACAAAGGCAGGAGGATGAGGAATGAATAAAAAAAAGGACAAACAGAAATCTGCAACTCTATGACCTACCTAGTAAGTTATGTTCAGTTTTCTGGAAGGGCAAGAAAAACCATTACCAAAATGCATTGTAAGTGAAGAGCCACTAGTTTCCAGAGGAAAAACTTTGCCTATAAAGTTCCAGTCTTGGGGGCTGGAGAGATGGCTCAGCAATTAAAAGCACTCACTACTCTTGCAGAAGACCGAGGTTTGATTTCCAGCACCCACATGGTGGCTAAGAACAGTCCATAACGCCAGTTCCAGGAGATCTGACACCCTCTTCTCACCTCTTCAGGCACTGCACAACAGGGGTGCACTTACATACATGTAGGCAACACACTCATACATATAAAATAAAAATAATAAAATATTTAAAGGTCCAGTTTCACTTCCAACCCTCTGAGAATGGGGAGAAGTTAATTACCCATAGTCGAGCCTGCCCTGGGAACTCAGAGAGCTGAGGCATCAACAGGACACTTCTCTAGGCTCTGGTGCAAACAACCCTCAGCAGGACTTGAGGTGGCATATTCCCAGCATCTTGGGGGCGGTGTGGGGGCAGGGGATTAGCAAACTATTGTGGCTACATATCTGCTGCACATCCTCCATCTGGCCTCACCAAAAAGGCTGAACTTTTCTATACTTATTTATTTGGGGGCTGGGGGGATGCACATTTAGAGTCAGAGAACTTGCCTGAGTCAGTTCTCTCCCACTGTGTGGATCCTGGGGATTCAGGCTTGGCAAAGGATGCCTTTACCTGCTGAGCCATCTCCCTAGTCCTAAAAAGGCTAAACTTTTAAATTCCAAATCTACTTACTGTGCAATGTTTGTTTCAAGTGATTCCAAATTAATAATAGAAAGGGAAAGCAGTATTTATTAATTTCTTACTATCCCATAAGTCCCAGCAGTACTTATCCTACTGAAAAACCAACAGCACCTCCACCTGCTACCTTCCATTGCTGAAGTGATCTTTTCCCACTCTCATCCAGTAGGTTGCTCCTAAATGAACTGCTGTTGCACAGGACTGTCCTCCGACAGGCAGACCATGGACAGAAGCCATCTTCCCAAGCTTGGTTGCACCAGCTTGCCTAGGATCATCACAGCTAAGCTTGTTGACCGTTATGCTCACCAAGAAAGGAGGAACGAGCGGGGAGAGTCAGCCACACCTCCCAACCTGGTTAACCAGTCAGCCTTAGTTGCGTGAGGGGGAAGGGAGAAGGGTATACAAATTGAGGGGGAGGGTCTCTTCATTTTGTGCAGCTCTCACCATTCACTCTTGGATCAAGGCTTTCCAGTGTGGCCTTAGAGGGGAGTACCCACACTCCTGTAAGTAAACCCTCATTCACTGCTCTGTAAATAAGCCCAATAAACTCACTGGTTTCCCAGATTGTAGTCTGGTGAAGCCAGACTCTGTTTGTTACAGGGGACAAGGGAGGAAGGGGTGATATTGTTTATACCTCCCAGAAGGAGTCCTCTACTTCTTTTTTGGATACTCTTCATCAGCCTATACCTATACTATAGAATTCCACCATCCAGACCCAAGAGGATTTTAGGTTCATCTGTATGTTATAAAACATACCACTATCTGCTAATTTGAAAAACATATTTCCCCTCTATAGTCAGCAGGGCCACGTGTTATATTACAACAGACAACTAGCCACGTCTCTCCTGTCAGCCAACAGACCCCATTAGCCCTAACCCTCTTTCCCCACTTAGAATGGGCCTCACCTGAGGGAGAGTCACACATCTGACCACTAGCTTAGATTCAAATCATAGCATAGCTGCTTGGCATCCACACAGCCTTTTAGTTTTTGTTTTTATATGTAATTCTAGTAAGACAAAATACCTGGTTATCCTAACCCACAAGAAATTAGAAACTAAAAATCAGATCAGGGACTGGGGTTCTTACAGAACAAAGGAACCATCAAAACTCAAGAAGCACATCAGTGAGCAAAGGTCAAGCAACATGAACCGGAGCCCATTCTCACACTTGGTCCAGTTCTGAAAACAGTCTTATGAGGATAATAACATCCAGAACTGAGTAAATCAGATTGCTTCCGTAATGAGGTTGATATCCTGCTTAAGAATGGTCAGTGTATGGAATATTCTTGAAAAATATTTCCATCTAAAACAGGTTTTCCAAAGTTCTATTTAAGGAGCCAGGCGTAGCGGTACATGCCTTTAATCCCAGCACAAGGAAGCAGAGACAGGCTGAGTGCTGTGACATCAAAGCCAGCCTGGAATGGTCCACACTGGAAGTTCAGGCCAGTTGGGTTACATAGTAAGGCCCTGTTAATAAAAAAAACTTAAAAAGGCACACTGGGTCAGGGAGGTGGCTTAGCATGTAAAGTTATGTAAAGTGCTTGCTGTCAAGACTGATGACCTGAGTTCAGTCCCTGAAGCACACAGGGTGAAAGGAAAGAACAGACTCCCCACTCCCACAAGTCATCCTCTGACCTCCATACACTGGCTGTGGTATGTACCACCCCCTGCAACACTAAAATTTTAAACTGCCGAGAGTTGGCTCAGTGGTTAAGAACACTGGCTGCTCTTGCAGAGGACCCAGGCTCAGTTCCCAGTATCCATATGGCAACTAACAACTGTCCATAACTCCATTTCCAGGGGATCTGATGCCCTCTTCTGACCTCCATGGGCATTGTACAACATGAGTGCACTTACATACATGCAGGCAATATACTCATACACATAAAATAAAAAACTAAAAATTTAAAAATAAAAGGAAACAATTGAGGTAATAGTGTATATTCCCCTGGTACAAGCATGCAAGTAATTTAGTCATAAACATTTTATAACAAATTTTGTTTTGTTTAGGTTATTTGGACAGGATCTCACACTGTAGTCTAAGTGTTCATCCCTACACCAAGGATACAGAGCCAATAAAACACAAGAAGTCAGGTCTTCTGAAATCTCGTGTACTCCAAAAAGAAAACAGAGTCTAGATTCCAATTTTCTCATCACAACTTTTACAAAGATTTATTTTTATTATTTTATATTATGCTTATGTGTGGGTTATGTGCACATGAGTACAGGTGCCTCTGAAGGCTAGAGATGTCAGATCCTCCCTGAAGATGGAGTTACAACTGGTTGTGAACCACCTGACATAGGATGTTGGAATTGCAAGAGCAGTGAGTGCTCTTGACCACTAGAGCTATCTCTCCAGCACATCACAGCTTTCAGTCAACCAAATACAAACTCCATGGCTTGCAGTATCTACAGAACGCACCAGGGCAAGGAACAGAAAGGGAAAAGTATGTTTGGTGTGCTGCAGAATATTTAAATACCCACGAAAATGTATGACGCATAAGGAAACAGCAGGGTAATCTTGGGTGGCACCGCTTACCAGGAGTGTATCACCACATTGTTGCAGGCACTTCAAAGCCTAAGGACACAACTGCTGGAATCAACCCACCAATGCTTAATTATGATTAATACTGCTTTGATAGTCTAGCAATATCCCCAACCATCAAGTGTCACCTTCTCTAAAACCCAATACGTTTACTCCTATAAAACAGCAGTCACCAACAGTTCAGTGTGATTATTATTTTATCCCATTCCTCATCTGCTGTAAATTGCCAGGCACGGTGGTGCACATCTTTAATCCCAGCACACTCAGGAAGCAGAAGCAGGCAGATCTCTGAGTTCAAGGCCAGCCTGGTCCAGGCCAGTCAGGGCTATATAGTGACACCTTGTCTCAAAAAAAAAAAACTAACTTGGAAGGCTGTTACAAATAAAAATAATAATGATGAGCAAATTACATTTTTATGTAGAATTTCAAAAGTCTGCCTCTCCTTTGATCCATCAATGAACCCTAAAATTGCACACAAGGAAATGTGTACAGGGATGCTCTTACAGCACTGTTTATACAACCGAAAGATCGAAAAAAACCTGAATTTGAGCAAAGAACTGGTGAAACAAGCGACGCACATTCACAGGGCACATGACCACATAGCCATTACTAGGCAGGTCTACACATACTGACAGTTGAACCATCTCAAAGATGTTTTGCCAGGTGAAAACACTGACTTAACTAGACAATATGCTATTATATGTAGCAAAAAGATTAAGGAAAGGAAGCTGGAGCTCAGCAACTAAAAGCACTTGCTGTTTTGCAGAGGACCTGGGTTCTGTTTCCAATACCTACAAGGCAGCTCACAACTATTCATAGTTCTACGTGCACTTGGTAGGCAGGTACACTTAAATACATGTAAGCAAAACACTAATACACAAAAC